AAAATCGCGCCGGAATACATTTTAATCCGTTTCGCGTCGCGAGAATGCGAACGCGCCGACCGAATCGACACATACGCGGTGGAAATCGGAGAGAGAGACCGCGTGTGTGATAAAATGTATTATTTACATCGGACAGCATGTATTTACATGTAGCGCGTATCCGCGTGTTTATGCGACGTGGCTTTTAATAGACACGTTTGCCTCGATTCTCGATTTTGTTTGAGTGACGCGAAGACAGTTCGTCCGACAGCGTTAAAGCGTTACACGCGAACGGAATAATCGTGTTCGACGCGCGATTTAAATGCGCGCACGCTCGTTGCATGTGTATCAGTTGTACTTGATTATTCACGGCACGCGATTAAAAATCCGTCGTCGTAGGATTTATCGGAGATAATTCAGAGATGATCAGGGATATAGCGGAAATATTCTAGGTAGACAAAGTTATTGCCCTATCCGGTATGTTAATTATTAACTAGATACCAATGTATTTGTGACAATATTTGCGAGGTAAATATTACAAGCGCGGCCACAGTTACCGCCGTGCTGCCCTCAACTTCACACTCTCCTCACATAATCGAGTGCTTTAGCGCGATCAAAGTGTGAAAGCAAGTTGTCGGGAGTGAGTTAACGTTTCGCATAGTTCCCAGCTTTTCAGCATCGATGAAAGTAATAAGATTCTATTTGCAGGATGTGTCGGAGCTATCGTCGCTTCTCGACCCATATAACAGAGAAGATATCTAACGAACGGAGACGCGGCTCTCCCCATTGTGTCTGTTATCGATACGTCATGCGAAACAACGTTGCACGCGATTGATTCACAATCGCGAAGATATAGGTTAAATAACAAATTGACGCAAAACGATGTCTCGTAAGAATTAGCATCATCCGAACAAAATGCATCGCGACCTTTGCGCAAATAATTAAACAATCGTATACGGTGAAAATTAATTTGCTACGGAGTGAATTTTATGCTGTTTCAGTAAAATCTGTCAGTTACTATGTGCACGACGAAACAACTTGTTAAGAATACTAATTGCCATTCGCTGGATTACTTTGCTGAATCTGCAAATTATTTTGCTGTGAAAACATTATTAAAATTAGTAAATGTAGAAAAATGCGATTTTGTTCCAACAGCAAATTAACGTGTCCTAAGGACAAATTCACTCAACAGAATATTTTCTATCCCGTACGGGAAGAAGAAAGTTCCTGCAACAGAATAGATAAAAACTCGGTGACAAGAAATAAAAACTCGGCGAGAAGTATCTACGAGCGAGAACATTTGTGTGAATATTCAGCTGCGATAAAACTCGGTTGAGACAACTGAGAGACAATTGAATGAATAGAAACCTATTACAGGAATTTTTCCGTTTCTACAACCAAATTTTCATCTAGGCCCCAGACAACGGAATTGTTTTTTTTTTTTTTCATACGGTAACAAAGCTATTTCTGCTCTAATTATGAATATAACTTGCTAATTTGCTTATTCCAACTAAATTTGATTGCTGTCGCTACGATGCCCTCCCCCTTCTCTTAATCCTCATCGCGAGAATGACTCACTGCGATCATATCGGGTGTACACAAATTGTCGTGGCTATCGCGTGATTTGAGTCTCGCCAGCAGATGCGATCGCGCGGATCAAGATCTACGCGCGGCACTCCCCCTAAAGTCGCTATCGGCTGATCAAGAGAAATGATAGACGTGCGCATACGTTCGAAGGCGACATAAACGGAGATCCCAATCAGCGGGGAAACGGCCCTGAGTTTCGCAGTTCACCGTGCTCTTAAGATGTTATTAGAAACCAAGAAAGTCCTTAAGACACCCTTAACTGACTTTCGCGTGCCACCCCGCGACGATGACCCCCGCCACGTGGATGCGATCGCGCGTGTTCGTTCGTGTGCAAGCGAATCCTAAGACTTCCGCAAACGACGGCGAGATAAACACGAATATCCATCGACGTCGGCGATAGCTCGCTCTGCGGCGACGACGACACCGTCGTCGTACACGCGTCCCGTTAATCCAATCCCGAGGAAATCGCCGATGTATTTAGGCTGATTCGGTATGCGCGTGACCCGATACATATTGACTGTACAATTTTTTGCATGAGTGCAAATTATGTGGGCCACGTTTGATTCGTTGTTGAGAGAATAACATTTTATATGTATAAATGGCTCGAAACTCCCGTCAAAATGCACTTACTTCGATCAGAAATATCAAATTCGCGAGCTGGATTATATTTCGAGCGATAATCCTAAACTATAGAATAACGAGAAGCTTCGTTTCAGACGGTCTTCCACATTCACACGTGGCCTCTCGAATATTTCGAATTCGTGGATCGTCAAATTTTTTTCTATAAGCACGATACCTGTATATCTGTATTTTTTTATGTTTCGCAATGTCGACATTTCAAACAAAGAATAGTAATGGCGTGTCTGTATTGAAAATCACTAGTCTGATTGGCGCGTGCCGCTACGTGGCTCGATGAAACTATATAACGAATCGAAGAGTATAATCACAGATAATCGCCAAATGTGGGAAAATCTATTTTTTTTAAACAACGCTCCGTAACAATGCAGAGCACTTCAAGTATTGAGCATGTCAAGAGAATAACCGTGAACTCCTATTTTCTCTTTTATAAATTGTATAATCCCTAAAATTCGCCTACAGAATATGCCGAAAATGCGATTGTCAAACTGCAAGTTTTCGTGTCACCGTAAATCTCCGAATTTTTATTTGTCTCATATTTTTCATTTTTGCCAAAAATAAAACAATCCGAGGAGGTTCGTCGCGAATAGATTTCTTGACGACTATCGGCGTAAAAAATAAAAGTCATTATTGGATTGACGCGATATTTTTTGTCATCAACATTCTGTCGTAGTATCAATAGGAGTGAAAAACCCGACCGAGTGATAAAGGACGACCGATGTTTCGCGGAGGTTACGAGCGCACACATCCGATCCACCCTCGGAATAGTGAATTGCCGATAAAAGTGTTCATAAACAACTCAATGCCGTGCTTTTGGCAGTATCAGACGCGTTCATTTTATACGATAGTCACGACGAGTTTCTGTCTAGATGCCCGTTTTCAACATATATTATTACCATTGAACGAGATTTAAATTTTCAATATTTTACAGTCGACATTTAGCGCGGCTTCTGTATATTCAGCGCTACTCGTATTAAAATTAATTTTTAATGTCGCATAAGCTTATTGTCGCTGCGTCCTCTCGTTTGTGAGGAATTATGAGATGAAAGTTACTGAAATTTCAAATTTCCCTGAAGAAGATTCAACTCAAATTTCATTGAGAGAAGCATCATTAAAATTAGCAGTGATACGCACTACATATTCACATTTGAATTTCGTTCAAAGTGAAAAAGAGAGTGATGAACATAGCGCAACGCATGAAGAAAAATTGCGACAAGCTTGAAAGAAAAATTTCGACAAATTTGTCTAGATGACTTAAAGGAAACTCGGAATATCACTATTATGCTGGTTTGTAAAACATCAATTTAAGCTCTCGTTTACTTCCCCGACGCAATAGCTTTTAAGTCATAGGAATCTGCTCGTATTTCGACGAAAGTTTTCCATCCACCCTCGCGCTGCATCCCAGAAATCAACTCTCTCACGGAAGATAGTCGTGAGTTGCACGCGGCCCGGGAAGTCAACAAAAGCCAACCTCCCGGGCAACATCGCCCAGTCGAAAGAATCGCTTTCGACTAATACTCATTTCTGTAATTAACGGACTTTCGGGCTCAAGTGAGAAAATAGAGAGATAGAAGGGAGAAGAGGCAGAGGGAGAAAGAAAAAAAAAGGGAGCGGAGTACTCTGAAGAAAGGTAGAAAGAAGCAACTATACCAAAAAGTTAAAATTTTTGCAAAAAGAAGCTTGACAAAGGTTCAATAATATTAAAATAAGAGAAAAAATTATAAGAATTGAATGTAATTGTACAAGACGGAGCTATCCCGAATCGAAATTTTGGTTTTGATCCTTCAAATTTCGTCAAGAACCAATAGAAAATCTTTAAACAACAATATACGAGCTATTTTCTCCTTTGATGCTATAAATTAGATTACTAATTATTATTTTCTCCATGTTGAAGTTTAAAAAAAATTTAATGCAGAAATATAAAAAACAAAAAAATTATAACATAATCTTTTATTATAATATCTATTATATTTTATTATTGGAAATTTTGATTGATGGCGCAAACTGAATGAAGAAGAAAGAGTTATAAAGATAGCAATTGTATATCAACAATAATCAATGAAGATTTAATCGGACGGAGAAAATGTAAGCAGAAGCAAAAAATCGACAGTTTAAAAACACGAGATAACTCACAGGTTATCCCAAGAAAGATTATTAGAAGTAAGAATCAACACTTTTGAAACTTAACAAATTCCAAATTCCGACTCGAAATTTCAATCAAAAATTTCCGCTTGGTGGAAGCGAGAATTTCCGCCTTAAACTTTCCAAAAAATTATATACTAAACTTCCAAAGACGAGAAATTATTCGATGTACTACGATCAAGTTAATCGGTATCGTTTTCCTTGAGTGTCTCGAGAAGTACTGAGCGACTCGCGAATTCGCAGATCACATTTTGCGAGAGGGAAAAAACGAAGAAACAGCAGGACATTATCCAGACGTGACGGTCGATCTGCAGGTTCCATTTCGCGCAAGGACTCCCTGCCATCGAAGGGGAATAATTTCTCGATCAAATCACGGGAGCAAAAAGAGCAAGAAAAGCCGAGGATATCCTCCTCGAGCTAACTATATATAAAGCGAAGCCGCAATAACGACCGTCGTGTAACGCGAAATACGTAATTGTTTATAAATCACGACACATACGCGAAGAAACTACTTATCTCGGCGAAGTCCTGACATTACGAAAAGGCACGTTGCAAGACCATAAAGATCCGCGACGGCGAGTGTCTCGAGAGTTGCACAAAATGGAGTACTATAACGTCGTCGTCGGTTTATAGTCTCGGATAATGTACACACTAACCTTTCACTGTCCGCCCAATCCGTTCAGTCCGCTCAATCCCGCCGACGCAGCCGTGAGCAGCTTGGAGACGAAGGATACATCCGTCAGCTGGTTGTCATACTAGTCCCTCGTGGAAGAACTCCAGCAGCTCCGTAATCGACACTAGTACACAATCACTGAATCGACCGGGTCGCGACATAATACCATCGTCGGCGCACGGCACCTCGGCGTTTCCGCGAACTTTCGCGTGAAAATCGGCAAAGGAACGGGTCGTTGCCGTCGCGGCGGAAAACGAAAGGCGTTTCGAAGCAAATAATCACTAATACGTCGCGATCGTCGCGTTTAGAAACTATAACATAGGACGTCGCGTACGCGTACGACCGAACAGGTGAAAAAAAGATCTACGATCCTACGCGGACTACACGGCGTCGCGCCTGCTAGCGCGTTCCACGGTCTCTACACTAACTGGCGCGTCTTCACTTGAATTTCGCAGCTAGCGCGCGATCGCTGACCAATCGGCGGCTCGATCAACGCGCAAGCGCGCCGCAGCTCGTCGCCCGCCGTTATGCTTTGTTATGTATTGTCATTTACTTCTTATCTTCAAGTGTTCTGCATAACGCGTCTAATGACGTTCTAATGACGTGAATACGTTTCGAATGTTCGAGATCGTTAGGTATATTTCGTCCATCGTCATCCATACGGTAAGAAATTTTCTGTTGAAATACTTTCGTTTTACCTGGATTTTTCAACAAATTGCTTGGAAAATCAGGGAATTTTCGAAGAATCTTCTTTTCGGGTTTGAGTAAACTCCCAGGGACGACGATTCGTACACGAGACTCATCTCCTCCGAGCCGAAATCGCGAGGGACGCAGGACGACTTTCCTGCTGCGTACCGCCATTACCGCCATTAAAGCGCGATTAAGTTTCTCGAACTAACGATCGCGCCCAACTTCACTCGATATTCGCGAGGTGCCGTTCCGCAAGATATTCCGTTTTTGATTAATCGACGATATTGCGATGACCAAACGAAATTTATGCTGCAATTGTAATTAATTCGCAATTTCACGTCTTTCGATAAGTGTTTTCGAACTCGGATCGTGATTATATTCTTCGCGTCTTTTCTATCTCATCCTTCATAAACGAATCTCGCGCGCAAACGATGTCAAGTTGTGTAACGGTCGATCATTTTGGTGCATCAATCATACCAACACTTGCCTTGTCCTCGCATCGGAAATACGAAGCAATACGAATAAAAGTGTACAACACAAAGGGTTCCGACGAAACAACCGCTTCAGGACTTCGACATTCTTCCTGTGCTCTCATGGTGTCCTAAGAGTTTACATTTTTATTTTCTCTTAAATTTTCAAAATTGTATATATAAACCTTTGTCGAACAATCGTTAAGTAACTTTCGATTATTTTCTTTTTTCAACATATTAATATTATGGTCAATATTTAGTTGCACTGGAAAAGAGAACGGCAAAATATATTGTGTTTAATTAAGTTTTCAATATATATTTCCTAGCAACACGAGATAAAGATTACTAGAGAAAGAGTTTTATATAAACAGATAATTTGATAAAATTACAATTAATCAGAATTTCATTCTTAGTTGCTTTTAATGTTTTTAGTAGATAATTTTACCGGATTCTCTTGAATCTCTGATTTTCCATCTTAATGGTCCGCTAGATCGAAGGGAATTTAAAAGGAAAATATATATATTAAAAAGGACTATTTTTATTGTACAAAAAATTAATTGTTTGTACAAAAAGTTGTAATCTTATGCACTACATCGCTTTGTAATGAATCCCGTTAAATTCGTCCGGACAAAATTCGCGCATCTAATTGGAATAAAATAGCATAACACTCTATAATAAGGAACACACAAATGCGCGTTGCAACAATTTTTTATTATCTAGGTATTCTAGGTTTCTGCAAACAATACAATTTTGCTTGCCCAATTAAAAGTAATTTCACCAAATAGCTTATCCAATCAAACAAAACTCATGCGATTAACAATAGATTAAGTAATTTGGAAACACCTTTCCAAGTAAATGAGCCCTTTATCGCATACGTGTCACAAAAAAAAGACCTCAAAATTTAATTCCGTTAATATAGTTCCTTCTCAATGCATGTTCCTGACCTTATGTTTTCTTTGGCAGATTGGTGATCGAATAGCGACTGTTATCTTAATAATAAATGTTTGATGTGGCATGAAAAGATCGTGAAAAATATCATAACAATGTTATATAAAAAGTACCTGACGCGTGCGGAGTATTCCGTGTGAATACAAGAGGCAAATTTAACTGACAATAAATATTCTTCGATTACTTTGGGCGAGACATTCTAACTAAATTTTTTTCTGAATTCTTTTCAGCAAAACTTTAATACACCGAATGCCATATTGGATTCGAATGAATCCTTCATTACTCAATTTATGCTCGACTAACGATAGTAAAACATCAATTTCCAAAAGAAATCAAGCAATGAGAGAACAAAGTCGCTCGAGCGTGCTACATTGTTGAATTCGAATGTGAATCTCGTCAAGTTCACATTCTGTGGCAGTTGTACACGGAATCAAATGATTAATCTATCGTTAACCGTACAAGCTTGGAAGCTTCGGCGGCTGCGAAGTCGGACGGTAGTACACACATCTCTCGGTGTAAGCATAGACATTGGAGGAAGAATCCAATAGAACGCATATCATCATCCCATCACCGTTTTTATTTGTACTCTTACGATCTCGCGCGTCGCGCGCGCGCGAGAATCGGTCTCGGCGGCAAGCTGATACACGGAAAGAACTAGCGCGCGTAATCGACGAGACGATTCGTAAAATCGTGCGTGCCACGTCCGCCGACGATTAAGCCTCCGAGTGGCAATCAGGGTCATTTGTGTCCCTGTGCTAGTTTCTCAAAATAAATAAATATTTATTTATTGTTGACAAAACAGCTGCATGGTCTTCAAGTGAAAGAATAGAGGAAGTTCCGATATAATTTTTCGAGATTTTTTTTTGAGCACAGGAAAAAAAGGAAGACCCACACGATCCTGGTTGCCATAGCGAAAATACGTTGCCCGGAAGAGAAATCGCGGGTCCCTATAGAATTAAACTAAATCGCATTTAAGGTTACGATGATGAGGTTTGAGCTGCCAGCATTTCTTCCTGCTGTATCTTCTTCCGATAGTTGTCCAGCGTGACCTGTATCGTCTTCTCAGAGTAACGGCAATTTTCAGCCCCGCAGGTACACGTGAAGGACTTATACTTTATTATCCAGAATTTTTCGCCGTAATCAAAGCTAAGGGCAAACACAAGTCGGTTATACGCTCGGCTTAAGACCTGTATTTTTTGAAATTCGTTCAATCACGTTAATCGTGTTTTAACGTACCCGAGCTCTTCGTCCGCCTCGATATGTCGGTTGGCAAAGAATGCTATTCTAGGAAAATGCAAGTCCTGATGTTCGACGAATACTCGCACCGGCAACAGATTCGGCGCACACGAGTGATTGATGAATCGCGCGAGATTTCCGTAACGCCTCGCGTCTATACAGTAAGTTTCTCCATCCTGCGTGTTCATGCAAAATAAAATTCTCCGATAAAGTGCAAACACGAAATGATCATAGCGTTGCTTCAACGATGATTACAAAGCAGATGATCAATTAATCGGTTAGAAAAAGCTCACAATTTTTAATGTCTTCGCCTTGGTGGCGTGTTTGCTTCGCTCGATGCAAAAAGTGTTGTATGATATAACAATTTGACTTACTCTGTTGTCCAAATCAAATAAATAAGAGTCATCCTCTCTATGGTCAGCCTCGGAGTCGGAGATTATCTCGCCAACATATTCGCAAACATAGGTGCCTTTGGGAATATATCGAAGGGTTCGGAGACCCCAGCCTTTGCCATTCGTGCGGAACAATTGAAACCTCTGAGTGAGACCATGTTGAACCACTCGATTGTTGCAGGTGATACGATTACAATCGCAAGCTGGATTACACTCGAACAACATTGGTGGATCTACGACATGGAATCAGCAGTTGATATCAGTTAGAAGTTCACTTTCGCGAGATCAATTTTTCCAAATTTTGTTCGAAGTTCTGGAATCGCATTGACTCGTTCATTTGTTTCGACAAGATACGCTCTTACTTCTATACCTGCGTAATTGAACTCTGGTATAAGTTTTCCCTCCTCATCGTACCAACATCGCAGACTTATGTTTCCACACAAACACTTTTCGGAGCTGCAATTATCCTCGCACCGACAGGACTGTAATGACGTTATCGCACGATCCACATTGATGTTGCTCGTGAAGCAATTCTCCGTCACGTAAACAAAATCAGTCGGTTTGTCCTCAGAATCGTGCCCGTTGACGCACTGTACAGGATTAATTTCTTTCCCGCGTGAAATATCGCTGTGAAAGGATCGAAATACATAATTAGCAAATTAAGATCATTATTTTTCAACGAAGAATTAGGTTAATGAAAATTTTAACATGAAAGCGATACATAGGCGATCTTCGTAAACTTTTCATAATGCTTCGTAAAATCTCATACTTTGTCAATATTTTAACCGTCTTTTCCCACATGTGCGCGGAAAATCCATTGATTTTGGCGTTTAATCTCAAGGCAGCCATAGTATCGCCGTCCGTTGCACAGCAGTTTACCGCGGTCTCGCCGGCAGCATTCACTTCTCCTATTTTAGCACCACGTGCCAGCAACAATACACTGACTGCAAATTGGTCCTGCCTAGCCGCTATATGCCTGACGGAAAAAAATGTCATATAATCCAAATTGATCCTCTCACTTAAGCGGAGTGAGAATTTAAGGCGTTAAGAAATTGACAATCACAGTCGAATTATAGAAGAAAAATTAATTATAATTGGCCAATTTCTTAAATCTTAAATTCTCACCCCGCTTTATCCAGACTACTGGCGAACGTTTTATCGCCAACTGAAAGCGACAGACAATGGATTAAAACGTACAAAGGAGTATCACCGTGAACATTGACCGCATTCACGTCACATCCTTCGTTCAGGAGCAACTCTGTAATGTCGGAACTGCCGCTAAAAGCGCTCCAATGAAGCGCAATGTTCTGCTCAGCGTCCCGGATGAGAGGATCGCACTTCTTGTCTAATAGAAACCGCGCAACGTCCGTGTGGCAAAATTCACAGGCCCATATCAAACTTGTCCAGCCACCATCGTCCACGGAATCTGCAAACGAAGCGTGAAAAAACGTGAAGCGGTCTGGCAACACCATTGGCTACGTTCAACTGACATGTAAAACTCACAAATCTGATATGCTCTTAGATTCAACCAAAATTAAGAGCATACACTAATTAGATTCATAAATTTTATAACCGTTACAAAGCTGCTTTCTCTGCAGTCATTCGTTAGATATCATTGATTGCATTTAGCGGAAAAAGCAGCTCAATTAGCGTTCAGTAATTATTGTCTGCGACTGAAACATTCTTTTCGAATTTTTTCCTCCTCCAATTCCGCGCGCATTTTAAGAACAGTACGGGTGCTTGGGAAGGAACTTACCTACTAATGTCCTCGGCACTTTACACTCATTCAGAATGATCTTGCAGACTTCTAAGTGACCCGATTTGGCTGCCATGTGCAAAGCGGTCATACCATCCTCGCCCTTCAATGTTACGTCGGCGCCTATCCTAACTAGGTATTTGACGACGTCAGCTTTACCCTTATTTGCGGCAAGCATCAGTGGTGTCAATTGGTTTCTGTCCATTACATCTATTTGAGCACCGGCTTGCACCAAAACATGTATGCATGACATATGACCTTTGTCCGCCGCTATATGTAGACTGGTCCGATGAGAGTAATCCCGGAATGTGTGATTCGCGTTGTAGCCACAAGCTGTCAAATAGCAACACATACGTCAAAACGATATAATAATCCTGAAGGAAAGGCTTTATCATCTATAACGAAATAATACATTTTTACCGTGTGATATTCACAGTAAAATAAATCGACTATGAATAACGCCCTCTTTCTGGAAAGTTCCCATTCTCGCTCACCTAATACATTCACTAGTTTATCTAAATCCCCGTTTTTCACGGACGTGTAGAGGCTCATAATGGTGTAGCGTTCCGGCCTTTCGGTATTGATCGACGGTTCAGGTATATTGATGATTTCAGGTTGGATCAGCGGACTGGGCGGACATTCAGCCAGTTTCGTGTTGTCGCCCTTGCCGGGCAGTGTCATCTTTGCAGACGGCAGCTTAGAGAATTTCTTTCGTGTAGGGATAAAGACAGGCTTCCGCATGCCGTTCATCGTCACTACCACGTCGTAGGCGGCGCTCTCGCTGCCACAATGAGGACACACGCCCTTCTTATTCGGATAGATCTCGCATTCCCGATGATATTGGTGACCGTTGATGCACTGCACAAACCTACCCTGCGAGCAGAATTTGCCGCATGTGGGACAACAGTTGTGCCGCAGCAATCGCTCTTTATGCATACGGCAGAGAATGATGTAGGGTATGCGAGTGCTCGGCCGCCTCATTGTCACGTCGTTACTGTCCACCTCGTTGCAACAGCCCACCAACCTGTTGTCGATGGAATCGTTGGCCGTGCAATAGAGCGGCGCCCCGGGGCCAGTGATTGTCACGTACAATTGAGATCGCACTTGACACAGACACAACATGGACTGCGCATACGTCTGAAACAAAAAGATAAGGAGAGTGGTGTTGTGATAACAAAATATATTTTCTTTGTTATTAATCAAAGAAAACCTAAGTTTATACGTAACATTCAATGATTTTTTGGCTTTATATCTTGTAACCAATATTAATCGAAAGTTACTCAAGCAAAAAGGAATTGTTATAATTGACACCAATGTGGTGTGAACTGTAACATCAACATGATGATGATAACAATAGCGATTGTTTCAACTGACACCCTTATCTATGTACAAATTAATGCGCAAAAAGCGATTAACACGTTGGGCTCAACCTTTAGATCGGGCGTTCTCTCTCTATGGCATGTTGTTTTTAAGTGTATTTGAATTAATTAAAATTTAAAAAATATGTCACCACCACAGGAATCGGATTTCTATGTATAGCCGCACCCAACGTGTTAAGAGAAGAACTGACCTCACTCATGATTGCAGTGGATTCCGGCTTCGACGCCTGTCCTTCCGCAGGACTCGGACTTGGCGCCATACTTCTGCGGGTTCGTTTTGCTGGTACTGCACCTTCTAATGTAAAAAAAAAGAGTTAAATATTACCTAACAAATATAGAAATTATAATTTTTTTACCTTCAGGATAATCATTATGTTTTCCCGCTTCTGCGACGGATGGAACGGATCCATCTGCAAAGTAACGTGTTTTAACACAACGATAAGAAACAACAAATATAAAAATATTTTACACTACCTTCGTATACGTCGGCCTTTGCTATCTTTCGTGCAGCTTGAGTGCTTCCACGAGGTCGTCCTCTTTCCCTCTTGGGTCGTCCGGCAGTAGCAGGTTTCAAAAATGGCTTTTCGATATCCGCCAACGGTATGTCGTCGCTGCCAGGACTACCGATCGAGCTCAACTTGGTCTGCGAATCTGAGCTCCTAGTCATCGGAGACAGCTTCGGCATGTCGGCGAACTCGGAGGACGAATATATCAGCGAATCCTCATTGACACTGTCGTTTATATTGCTGTTTTCCAATAACAAAGTAGTAGAATTACGCGACGACGAGTCCAGCATGCTCTCGGCTGCGTTACTATCAGTTAGCAGCGACGTATCTGCTTCCGGATGACGCATGTCGGAGAGCCTCATTTGCACCGGCTTGATCGGGTCTCTGCCCGGGATTATTTTCTTCGGACGACCTGGCTTACTGTACTTTCGTTTCTTACACTGCATGTCCTCCGTGTAATTCGACTTTTCCTTACGCGCCATGGCGCTTTCCAAAACTGTGCTCTTCAGGGACTCCTTGCAGAGCCTTCTGGCTGAGCGCTTGGGACAAGGGCGCTCCTCCACCGAGTCACTGAAAAGACGAAAAGAGAACAAGGTTTATACATATCATGCAAAGCATATCGTGACAAATGCAAAAGATCAAAAGGGAACCTAAGCGCTCGCAATCTAGGTCGTCCAATTCTTCTCTTCCTGGTGACCGGTGCGGTAGTTTCTCTCTGTTCGGTACTTTCTGCAAGCTTTGCTTCGACGTTGTTGCTCTCAGGATTATTCTTTGCAGTCTCAACCTTCTCCTCGACAGGAAGCTGTGCATTACTTAGTTCCTGAGTATCCTTTGTGGTATCTTCCACCTTATTCTCAATCACATCTTTTGACTCGGCCTTTTTTACAGGTTCTTTTGTTTTGACTTCTGATGAGGATTCCTCCGCAGCATCGCAATTATCATCAGAGTTTTCTATCTTCACTGAGACACCGCCAATCTGATCGCAATTGGCCAACTCATCAGGAACCAGAGCTAGATTAGAGGGACAACTGGATATCTTGGTCTTCTTGCCGTGACCTGTGTTTTCATCAATAGTCCTAAATGTCAAGACAATCCTAGGTATCCCATTATCCTTCTTGAGAGTTTCTTGCTTGCCTGAGGAACTATCGTCCTCTCCCTTATGATTCTCCTCTGCCACAGGTTGAACCATTGTGTCCTCTGGATTTGCAGCTGCTTCCTCACCAGTCTCATCTTGCTCCTTCTCGTCTTTCGATAACTCCTCCTCAACAACCATGGGTGGCAACGATGCCACTGTCGACTGCGATACTTCTTCTGTGGCAACAACTGTCTTGTCGATGTTATCACTATGCTTCGTCAGACTCACACCCTTGTTGAACTCATTCGTCATACTCTCGAGGATCTCGTGGATGCTGACTTTGTCATCGACGCTCTCATTAGCAACAATGCCCTCACTGTCACCAGCTTTCGTCGCTGATGATGGTGGCACCCTGCAACCCTCAACTACTGCGACTGTCCTATCTGAGACTTCGGACGCGACATCGGCCATGCTCACGGCTGCTACGACGAACGACAGGACAATGTGCAATCACTATGGAGCATACTTTCTTCCAACTGCTTCATATCCTCACGTTTTCTTTTTTTTTTCTACCGAGAACAGTGATGCATCTAGCACGATCCGCTCGAATTTTTTTCTTTACTCGCCACGTACAACTATAATGTTTCTTTCTTCTATATCACAGACGTACTTTACTCGACCTATCCATCCACTTTAATGCCTTTTATATACTTTCGATCCTTGCTTATCGGTGACACCATGATCTTCCAAACATTATGTGGGCAAGTGAATACTATTGCTGCTCGGGATATTAGCTTCTTTCTTTCGAACAGTCCCTGTTCATCGAAATACCATGCATGTTTGCACTTCAACAGCTTCAGGAGAATTGGTTGCACTTAACATGCCTTTAGGTTACCGAGCTGTACCACTAGACGGGAACTGTATGACTGACCAGGCGGATCGACGATTCTAGCACGAAGAGTCGCAAGGAACCGTGGCCAATAGCGCCAGAGCTTCCTATGGAGAAGTCTGAAGCAAGAGAGAGAGAGATGGGATGATAAATGGTAAAACAGAAAACAGAGAAACACTCTCATTGGCGTGTCCTGTTAGCAAGCAGGCTAGCAAGCAGCGACTGGAGGCCATATTGATTGCACTCAGGGACGGCGATCACAGCAGAGGCTGAATTATTTTCTTCCCGCGATCCTCCGTTATCGTGTCGTGCCTGAGAATTAATGTTAGCTTAATTTAACCTCAAGTAATATTTATTTCATTTATCGTGTTATGTATTCATTCATATTATACGAGGTTTTACACATCGAAAGTAAGGAACAAGAAGAGGAAGCACGGCCATTACAAGCGTTGCCCGTGTAGATTTCACATATTATTTTATATGAATTATGTTAAGCACATACATGAGCTTTTCTCTTCGTATCATAAATGAAGTTAGAGAATTGTGCAAAGACTATTGAGTCAAATTTTATTGGAATTTCAACTGATCCGAAATAAATTGTTCACAATTTCAATTTTTTATCCATATTTATAGGAATAATTTATCCACAAAAGAATAAATAAATAAAAATGCTGAGGAAAAATTACATTTATAAAATTTAATCTAATTTTGGACTAATCTCAGATTAAGGCATGGTTCTTAATTTTTTTTTAACTCGTTTAGGCTGATGGTAATGTAAAAATTATTTTAGTTTTTCTATTCATGGTTAATCATGCAATTTTAAAAGTTACACTACAAAACTATCAATTTAATGATTAACCATAAATGAATAGAAAAAGACAATTTTTGCATTATCATCAGTTTAAGTTTAAAGCACAAGTTAACTAGAAAATGAAAAACTAAACCTAAGAATCATCAAGAGAGTTGCTTTAATTTATTGTCAGTAATATAATTTCACGTGTGACGCGCGAATTATTATTAATTTCTTCCTAAGTTTCCATTTATTTTCACATCAGTCTTCCATTTGTTAAGCCTTCCCTTTCGTTACTTCAAAGAATATTTTCATTTAGTAAATTATACATATACGATACGATGCCACATATAACGAGATGAACGTTGCGTATTACGGCTGCTACGAAGTTCGATCGACTTTCAAGAGGATGCAAATTAATGAACGATTATAGCAACGGAATGAAGTTGGAAAATCCATTGTAACTCAGTGCGCATGACAGTGCGTCAACAAAAAGTTGCTTAAGGATTACGTGGCATGATACGATAAAAATATACACGGTGTGTGGCAGAACACTAACGTACATAAATGTCGGTCATTGTAGGTGATAAAAAAATATAACATTTCAGACGAGATTTCACTTTCGGTCTGGAGATTTATCTATATGTTAGCATTTCATGCGTTGCTAATAAATTGCAATGATGTGATCGTCTCGCAGAACTTCCGTAAAAATATAAATTATCTATGTATAGTAATTATAGATAGTATTTAGTCCTACCTAGTAGTTAGAGATTTCTGATTTTCAAAATCAAGGATCGATGTAAGAGCTTCCGAATTTTTTTCCATTGCTTTAAGTTTATTGTACATAAAATTTCTTTTAATTCTTCCAAAAGATTGAAGTGATCCGATTCTCCGATAAAAATTAACGTGAACTTTTATCTACTTTACATTGTAGGTTAAATCGTGTGCTTTGTTAAAGATATTTTTCAGCTTGAAAAAAATTCTGCTAGAGAACAAACGTTGAGAGGACAAAGTTCAAGGTTTTTGTATGTAATTATATTAATTATACCGATGGGCAATAAACAGGCAGCACGACTAGCTTCGAGTGACTTGCAATATTCCTTTCACCGTCTCAAACGAGAATATATTCCACTCGATTGAGTAAATAAAAGAGGCAAAGAGAGCAAAAATTGGTGAAAAATTCTACGAGGAAGAGACAAGGAGGAAGGGTGTAAGAAAAGAGAATAAAATGTAGAGAGAAAAAAATGTGACTCGTATAAATATAAGTTTATTTACATTGCAACAGATCCTTTTGTCAAATAAGCGACAAAGGTGATTACGAGTGTAGACTTGAACGTAGTTTGGGATTAAATGTTAATTAAAAATAATTAATTACAACATCCTAACCGTGTGACGCCTCTCGCACGCTCTGCCGACTGAGTAGTAATATACATTCGTGAATTTGTAGTAAAATTCTACGAGTAAGGCGTGCCACTGCAACATTATTGTGCCTCCGTTTTACTTTATCTCGTTACGGAGAAGTCGAGTGTGGACGATAACGTATCCCTCTCGAATTTCGCGTTCGATCTCAACGCCGGGTTTCTGAACGTACGGCTCGCTCGCGCGTTTGGTATTACTTCATATATATAAATAACATATAATAGTCGTAATAATAATATTAATAATAAAACGTGGAAAAGTCGCTGAGAATCGCTGTAATTCGAGTCGCAGAGATACCGCAAGGCCGTCCGAGAGAAGAGAGTGAGTTTCGTTGCAATGTCCCCTCGCTCGCTCACTCTCTCTCTCTCTCTCTCTCTCTCTCTCTCTCTCCTCTTCTCTCTATCTCTTTCTCCTTAGCGTGACAAAATTCTCAAGCTCGAGAGAAAGAAGCGTAAACGAAGAACGATAGGAACGGTTTACGCGTTTTCGCCACGGCGCCGTATCTCCCCAGTGTTTGTGTGTGTGTATACATGTGTTAATATATTTTTTCTCTCTTTTTGTTTTTAGAAAAAACATCGCGGTGCATCTTTGTTGCTCCTCCGTCGTCATCGTCACCGTCAGTCATCGTCGTCGTCGTCGTCATTCTGCACTCCTTTACACGCAAGCGATATAAAAAAGTTGAGCATCGTGTTTCCCTTTTGCGTCCTATTATAAATACACGTCGAGAGGAGGATCCATTGACGAAGGTAGTTCGATTCGCGACGGCGACTTAGAAAGCCGTGTGCAAACGTCGCGAGGACCGTTCGCGGTTTCGTCGCAGCGCGAACGTTCCTCGCATGTGCGAAACGCAGGCCTCGCTAAAAGGCTACGACCGTGCAGAAAGCGAGTTTAGCGTGTGAAGCGCGTTTAAAAACTTCGAGAAGCGTCGTTTCTTCTCATCCCCTTTTGCTTCTTCCTACTCTAGAGACACATCGATAAGAAATCCAGAAAAATATTTGTCGACCCGATATATTCACCGACGTGAGAGAGCTGCATCAGACCTCCCCCCCCCCCTCTCTCTCTCTCTTTCGAAGTGAGTTTTACCTTCTTTTTTTCTTCTTTTTTGCGATTTTCATCTAGAAAAAGACAATTTCAGCCGTTTCGCACGCTAAATCGACCTCTCGTACAGCCTTCGACGCGTACAAACCGCCGCGAACGCGGCGGCTCGAGTATTAAAGAACATGCTTCTCCATATTTTATTTCTCTTTTTTTTGTTTTTGGTTTACAGCGTTGTCCTCGAGAACACCGTATACGTGTGTGCGTGTGTACCGTATACTCGCTCTGTGCGCAACCGTCGTCGCCGAGTACGACGCACCTCGCTACTACGTAGTGCACGCGATTGCACCACGGACATACCGTGTCGCGTATGGCACCAATAACAAGGAATAAGGCTTAACGGTAGCGGTGGGTTATGGCGGCGGAGGTCTCCTCTGAGGTTCCGGAGTGTAGCGCAGACGGGCTCGCACGTGCTGCGGGCTACCGGGCACGGAATTGCTCTCCGACAGTCTCCTGGGTGGCGGCTGAGGTGGAGAAGGCGAGACGTACCTTGAAAAGGACAACGAAACGAGAGGATGATACAGCGATTTACTTGTCAGAAACGGTGGGAAAAGTGCGTTTTCTTTGGAAAAAATGCTGAAAAAGCTCAAAAACAGCCTTCGGCAAACGATTTCCCCCTTAAAGAAAACACAGGTGTTCTCACGACAGTCATTGTCTATTTTTCCGACAAAGTTGATATAAAAAAAAAAACTTAAGATCACACTTCATGAACATTTGCGTCGGCGGAATCATTACTTTCTGTTTTCTTTGAATCTTTTGTTTTGTCTTGAAAGAAGCTAATTATTCTGAACATGATTTCTCGAGATTTTGTTCTGAAAAATGAGACATTTCTAAATAAATGAAACGAGTCGCATACAGACGTACCTTCGCGGACAGGAAGGAGACGCCTGTTCTACTAAATTCCTCCTAAGGGCGAGCGGTGACTCGCCACGACTCAGTCTCGGCGGTGGCTCCGGCGAAGGAGCGCGTTCACTGCCGAGCCTGAGGCGCACGTAAGACGCGAAGCGCTTCTTCGCGGATTCCTTGGAGCCAGCACTCTGCTGTTGTGGCGGCATCGCAACCGCCGACGAAGGCGGAGACTCCTGCTTAAGCTGATGCGCAAAGCGGGAGATTAGCAATTGCGGACTAGTGGACCCGTGGGATCCCTGCGGTGGTGGCTCCGAAGGAAACCTACATTCCGAGAAAGGACGATTAGGATATAATGAACGTCTGTCGTGAGTTAGCGGAACAAAATCCGAATATTTTTATTTATTGCTCATTCGCTGGAGGAGAAGAATTAAGTCGCGTGTACCGAAAGAGAGAGTCGGCCTTTCTTTAATGTATCGCGAACGCTGCCGAATGTTTGTCACACCGAACTTGCATATCAAATAAAGTCTTCCGATTGGAATTAGCCGACCGGTCCCATCCATCTCTTTGGAGGATATTTTTATCCGCAATTATTTCGCTAACTTCATCTTCTTTCAGCGAGACGTCATTAAAAAAGTTAAACAGAACAAGCAATTTTATTAATCGGAACTGATTTCGTTCCGCTTACATACCTCTTGCGGCTGATCATCGGGCTGCCGTAGATGTCCTGCGGAGGATGGGTCTGAGGTGCGGGCGGCGGCGGCGGTTGCGCCAGTCGTTGCTGCAGAAACGGTGAGTAACGGCCGCTGTCGCAGGACGGCGGGATCACGCCGGGCGGATCGACGTTCTCCCGCCGCCAGGGAGAATAGTCCCTGGCGAAGGGGCTGAGCGATCTCGACACGTTCTGCCATCGATCCTTGCTCGAATCGCGCTCCTCGTAGCGGCTGCTGCGATAGGGAGAGTAGGACCGGCCGTTGCCGTCCACCAGGTTCGCGTCCTGCTGCCTGTACGGGGAGAACGGCCTCTCCTGCCGGCCATTCGTCGAGCAACGGTTACCGGACTGCTCCAGCTGTCGGTAAGGTGAGAACGGCCGAGGCGGCTGTCCCTCCGAGTCCGCGTCCTTGGAGGTCGGCGGCGAGAACGGCCGGTCCTTGCGGCGCAACGCGTACGGGCTGTAGGACACGTAGCTGGCGGCGCCGTTCTCGCTGTTGGAACGCTGGTGGAACGACGGCAAGAAGTTCGGCTCTTTGGCCGTCGCGTTGTTGCTCCTGAGGAAGGCCGGTATGTCGGACTGCGCCCGGAAGTGCGCCGCCGTCTGTTTCAGGGACACATGGCCCGAGACTCGCTGCTGCCCTCCCGGTAACCTGAAACTGAACGCCCCCGCGGATGAGATCTCTCCGAATCAACGTCTTTTTCTCTCCCCAACCGCGATTCGGCACTTTCTCGCATTGCCACCCCCGTGATAGCCGGCGGTGACTCTGGAAAAAACCTTAGCTTAAGTATTAATGGAAGTTAGAGCGGAGCGTTAGTTATTACTGTGCGCGTGCAATCGCAGAGGACAGAGGAAGTTCTCGTGAGACAGGTTACGTTCTCCAGACTGCGCTGAGAGATCGGCGAGATCGCCATCGTCAAGTACCGTAAGTTGAAGCGAGATCAAGATTCTACGCTCGTACGATCCGTACGATCCCTCTTGGTCGCGACCAAGTTCACCCCGCTGCCGCGATCTCGCCTCAATTTGTGGTGCCTGAAATTCGTAGAACGCGGGATCAATAAAAAAAAAAACGAACAAAGGTGAAGAATAGAGAAAAACGGCGTGTGCGCAGGAGAAAACAATGCGTGCATCGCAGTGTACGAGTCGGCCGCTACGCTAACTTCGCAAGTTGGCGAAGAGAGAAAAAAGAGAGAGAGAGAGAGAGAGAAAGAGAGAGAGAAATAATCAAGAAATATTGAAATAAATAAAAAAACAATGCTTACCGTGAGTGGGGGTTGAAGGGTGGGATGTGTAACAGGCGCGTGCACAAACCAAACAACTCGAAATGAAAATCGGGCAGATTTTTGGATACTCCGAGAAAGGGAATAGTCTTTTTTCTGTTTTTTTTTCTCGTGTTTTTTTTTCCTTTTTTTCGTTTTCTTTTTTTTTCGTTTAAAGTTTCTTTCGGGATTATTCGGGCGGTTCGTCCGGGAGGGAGCAGAGGGAACAGGACAGGAACGGGAGAAGGGAGGATGCTACGCCGCGCTGCCTCCCTCAAGCTCAACGCTGCAACACAATTCAACACGCACGCAAACTTTTAATCGAAATAATAAGAAGACGTCTGTAACATGTCGGTTTTTGACAAAGTGGTATCAGAGATAAGTGTACACCGGAGTGTCCCGGGAGTATCGCGTCTCCTTGCGCGGTCGCGAGAGTCCATTGGTCTGTTCTTTTTAGCTAAATTGGCTGCACTAGTTCAAAAAATGTACACACACTGAAACGTGAGAATTTCGCATATACGCTTCAATGTGTATACGCAAATTTCTCGAACTGCAGCCAGTCCAGTTAAAAAGAACAGACGTATCGTTTGACACGACTTCACTGATCGAAGAGCCCGAACGAATCCACGTGACAATTCCAGGACACCTCGTGTATAAAGGTGCTAATGTTCAATGTGATCAAACGAAATTTCGCAAAACGCATCGCTCAATTTCGGAGCCGCTATGATACCTACCCACTTGACACTATGTGGAAATGTGTTAAAACTTACGAATTACCTGGTTATTGTTGAAAAATAAAAAAGAAAAAAATAGAGAAAGAGACAACCAAACCAAATCACAGTATCTATATTAGTCGGGAATTTCATGCCGTGTTTTAAAATTCCGATCTCGCTGTCACGTTTGTCTCAGTGATGATGGTATACCATATATATATATATATATATATATACCATATATATATATATATATTATGCCATTTTTCTATTGTTACGCTTAATCCTGTTATATATTATTTCTAGGAAACCGGGAAACGGCAGAACGGCCGTTAGAGGGGGAGGGGGCCCACCTTGGTTCTAATTGCCGCATAACTCTGCCGAACCACTGATAGCCGGAATTCGGCGAGGCGGTCTCGCCGTCCAACGGCATGTCGTACTTGCGGATGAACGGGTGTTCCATGAGCTTGTGGTACTTTGGCCGATGCTTGTAGTTCTTCGTAAGGCAGCAGGTGACGAAGTTCCTAAACTCCTTGGAGAAGAGTGCGTCCTGCGGCAGAGACGGTGGATCGTCTTGCACTACCCTGCTCAGCACCTGCAACGAATAGAAGAACGACACAGGGAAATGACGAAGATCGCAAACATGGGAGTCAAAAGCAGTGAGAAAAGTGAGTCTTTTCCACGTTAAAAATGAATATCTATTACACCATTCCTCTAAAAGATGAAAAACCGCCGAAAACTCACCTCGAAGTCAGTCTTGCAGTCTCGGTAAGGAAATATTCCCGTAGCTAGTTCCACCAGAGTAATGCCCAGACTCCACACATCCGCCCTTATGTCGTAATCCGGCTTGGTTGGATCAGGTGGATCTATCCTCTCAGGCTACCACAGAAGCATCAGATCGCTCATTGCAATTTTTCCGAAAATTATCAACGTTTTCTACATCGCGAAATGTTTACTCACAGCCATATACGCCGCGCAGCCCGCGCTTCTCGTTTTCGCTTTGCTGTCGACTAATCTGCCAGATATGCCGAAATCGCAAAGCTTTACTCCGCCCGACTCATCCAGCAATATGTTGCTAGGCTTCACGTCCCTATGGATGACACCATGCTTCTCTTTCAGGTACGACAACGCCTTTACTGTCTAAAGAAGAAATGAGTCGTACTGTAAAATCTTGCTCAAAATTATGGTAATACATCATACAAAATATCTTGCAATAGAAATGCATGAGAAAAAATATTTTAATAACTTTTAATTATCTATACTTTTATTTTAATTATTATTTCAACTACTGTATAATTTTGGGAAGAAAGCAGAACTCAAGATGAATTCCCTCGTGAAAGTAGAAGGAACTTACCGCTACTGTGACTTTGCCTAAAAAATCCTCTGGTATCGCCTGTCTGCTGCGCTTCAGCAACTTGTCCAAGCACGTCGCCATCAGTTCCATGCATATCCATACGTCGGATTCCGTAATGAAGCAGCCAAGACACTGTACAATATAAGGGCAATCGTGTGACTTGAGCACAACGTCGAGGTCCATGATTATCCTCTTGTTCTCCTCCGCATTGCCGGAACGTCTCATCTGCTTCACAGCGATCACCACGCCGCTAGGTTTGTGCCTCATCTTGACGACATGGCCGCACGTACCATTGCCGAGCTCGCCTAAATGCTCCAAGTCCTTCATCTCTGTCTGATACCTTTGGCCATTGATATTCAGCATACCATTCATCTTCATGATTTCTTGAAGTTTCGACTCGAACTCGACGTCGTGTTTCTTTGGCGGTACCATCTGCGATACCGGCAGATCCAGCTGTCTTCTGGCTCGCGTTGGAGTACCCATGTCTCCGACTGTGAAGAAAGGTAGTATTTTCATATTTTATTCAGCAACAGCTCTCCTTTCTCCAGCTATTTATTCCCTAACAATTATAGTTGAGCAGAGAAAATTGTAAGAATTAGAAAAATAATAATCATCTAAACTGCGTTAACAGATTATCTTAATATCTTGAAATAATATTATATAGAAGGAAGATTATCCAAAGATATTTATCTCTTATTTTGCTGTCACAAATCTGTATACATACATATGTGGCAAAAAGATGCGATTGTAGTATTTGCAGTAAACTTAACATAATGAAAAACTGCTTGTATCTATTTTCTTGGCCCAACATTAATATTTACCTCAGTGTAAGCACCTAGCTCAATATATCAACCGCAATAGTAACAAAATCGTTTGCAACCACGAGTATTTCTCGCAATCTGGCAGAAACGAGCCAAAAGACAAATACATCCGAGGCAGATAAACAAACAGCCGAGAGAGATAACTGATAAGCAAACGGGCAAAGAAATCTCATTTTATCGCCCGGCAAGAACATCCCGAGATTGGATATCCTGGGGGGCCAACGTCAATTCGTGGAGAAGGACGAAATCAACGGTGGAGTTGATCAACATAACCTAAAAGACACGAGCGAATGTCGTCGATCGTGCGCGACGACGCAACTGTCGCCAGGATATATCGATCAGCGAGGAGAGCGATCCAGCGGTGTCGGTGGAATGTTTCGCGCGTGATGCTTACGTTGTCGGGGCCTGCGGAGTGCAGGACTAGACGCAGGGCCCGTCGACGACGACGACTGCAGACCCGCGGTCGGACCAACCTCGCCGCCCTGCCTGTCTCTGTCTCGCGACTCGTTTTCCGCCCGCAGACGTTCCTGCAGATTCAGAATCTTGTTCTCCAGGGTGCTCGACATCGCGCAGCTCTTTGCACAGCTGTAAGCTGCTCGTCGCACCACGCTAACGCAAGCTCACCGGGGTATCACCACCGCCGCGCACCAGGTATTTGACAATTTTCGCATTACTCTACTCTGCCCCTTTTTGGCAGCGAGCGCTGCGCCGCCGGTCCGCACGCGTTCCCAGGCCTGCCAATATAATATATATTTGTAGTTGATCAATTTCTTCAAACATCTATTGCGGATCGGAACTTAAGCTACGTTAGTGCTGTTCATGCGACATTTGTTAACAAATACATACAAAGTTTCTTCTTAAAACGCCTATCACATTTTCGAATCAAATCATTTTTCGTTTAACTCAAAATATCTTGACGAAAATTCATGACAACATTAATATAACTAATGTGGTTAAAAGCTAAAGAGTTCAAGCTTTAAAATGCTTCTTAAACGATCTCCCTCGTCTATGTTTTTTATTATAATGGATAGTACGGCTGGCCAACCCTTGAGTCATACTATTTGAGAAATAGAAATATGTCTTACTCTATCGCTTAGTCATATCACGACCTTAGTTTCTCGTAGAGGAGATTCTGGAACTAAATTACAGAAATAACGGGTTTACGCGTAAACCCGTTATTCCAGAATCTCCGCTACGAGTCGCCACTATACTCAACGAGAAATAACCAATATGACTAAACGATGGAGTCAGCCGTCACTTTCTATTTCTCAAGTAGTATGACTCAAGGGTTGGTTAGACGTACTTTCAACGCTTTTGCGCTATGATTTCACGAAGTGTTGGTAGATTTGCGTTTACAGCGCTAATAGCACATTTGATCTAATCAGCTCAAATCAGCTGGAGTTTCACCCATTGGTCGGACCATATCACGTGCTCCATGCAGGAGTTCGTTTGAAGTTATTTGAAAATTTGGCCGCCATATTGTACGATGGTCGACAGCAACGAGAAATGCGTCGAAATCACCGCGATAAGAATGGCTATGAATAACACATCCCAATTATCGTGTCTCGATGAGGAACGCAAATCTGAGAAGATCGTCAAACGTAGATCGTCGGTATTCCGTAGGCAAAGTGTATTGTTTGACCGACAGGAAAGTTAGTTCGCAAAATTATGTGTTTTACATTTCTTAATCACCATACGTTTCTATAAATAATTTGATTCATAATGTATCAACTCACATAAAAAATGTGTGAATTATTTAGGAATACGAGTACACAAGTATCTTCTTTCAGGTGGCCATGAAATACTAAACAGTGGGATTGGATTTGTATCAGGCAAGAATAAAGAAGATGCACAAGCTGATGCTGAAACTTTTAATCTGGAAAAATATATAGAAAAACTGAAACAGGAGCGAAAGGACTGGCTGCAGGAGTATAGGAATCGCAGGATTCAACGGAAGAACTTAACCAAGCAGAAAGCAATTGTGGAGAAGCAAAGACAACTTCTTGACATGAATATATTAACAGATTCAGAAAGAGCTTTTGTCAAAGCACGTCCCAATTATGAATATATCTGCAATAATAGTCGGAAACTGCCAGATTTGGCATTAAGGATATCCATGCTCAGCCAATTAGTATGTAAATTGGATAAAAGGTTTATGGAGAAAATGGAAAGTAATATCTCAAGAGCTACCAAGAAACTTATAGAAATGTCAAAACAGAATTGAAGGTAGATCTAATATATTTTAAGTATTACTCATTATTATTACTATTATTTGAGTTACAATTTTATCAGTAATGGGAGCTTTTCATAGTACAAATATAAATAACATTTAAATTAATTAAATACGACACTACACACTAAGATTGATTGTATAATACTTATTGGTGTGATGATTGTGTTCATCCATGACTCCATTAGAGATGATATATAATAAATACAAAATAATTTACCAATGTTATACAGTACAACAATAACTTTAGCAGTCACGAGATACAGATAGCAATTATCTATACATGTACCTTGTCATTTTCAAGTCGTTAACAAAAATCAGGATATCAGTATTTGATCATACAAAGATATTTCCTTCCCTTACAATCATCTGCTGTTGTATAATGCTCAATGCCTCAAGAAATCTAAGATTGCACGGAACAGCCAGTAGAGCTGTCATCTGTGTAGATGAAAACTCTTTCTCCTGGCGGCCTTCCTCTCCTTCTGAGCAAGATACTCCTTTCTGGACGCGCTACTGTGCAATTCCAAGATATGATTGATTTTTCTTACGATCTCCTCGGCCGTCACAGAGTCTGCCTCGAAATCATGATTTTTGAATGACGCTGATTGGTGAAGCGCATGACTTTGGCCTACAGCATCATTGTATAAATGGTATATTATTAAAAATTATATTATTAATAAAGTATATTATTAAAATTATTAAGGCACAAGATTCATACAAAAAATTCAGAACTAGTAACGAACAATCTTCCGTTAGAAATACTTAAAACGAAAAAATGTAAATTTCTAATGTATTGCAGAGTACATTGTTGTGAAGGGAGTTCCTCACCCAGAAAATTATCCGGAGCGTTCGACTGCGGAGTGTAAACTAGCGTGAACATGGTTTTCGATCCCTTAGTCTCTGTCACTTCGCACCAAGCGATGTTGTCTATATGATAACTAACTGCACGTTGCCGGTTCCAAAACCTGGCTGCGCCTTTACCTGTTATCACCGGGTCTATCTCGATCTTTTCGCCTGATATACCCAGGTGAATCTCAGTTTTTGCTCTCATCTTGTTAATTATGTATACCCTGCGATCAGAGATGTTTACACGATTGGAGCACACGTTATCTCAATTGTCACCTCGACAAACGTACTTGAAATGTCTTCAAGAAATCTCCGTTCTACTACATTCAACTGACCATAGTTATTCAAGAAACAAGAAGGATCCAACCCACAAAATTATGATTAAAAAAATTTTTTTTTTACCAATGAGTAGTCTATATGTCTTTCTACATAAAACAAAAAGATCCAAACCTTACGGGCGCCTAAAATTAATTAAAAAAAAAAAAAAAAAAAAAAAAAAAAAAAAAAAGTTTTTTTTTTNTCTACTAGTTGTGCTATTTTTTTTAGCCAGTTTCTTCTTTTTCACCCATATTTTATAGGATTAAGCTTGTCAATGAATACTCTTAAGGAGAGAAAAATGCTTCTCGAACGATTGTAAAAAAATCTCAGTGCTATTTATATTTCTTAAGTCATGTGTCAAATTTTTATCTTCATTTTTTTCGAAACGTACTCAATGTAGGCTGAATTCTTGCAAAACTATGACCAATTATTGAGGAGCTACCTATATGATTGATACAATGGTGCTTCCATCGCTGTGGTATGACCCTCCATCTTCGCCAAATCGTTTGCGACCTCCTCCTGCTCCTTGTCTTTACCTTCCAGGTCCTCCTCGTCCTTCTTCTCCACGCAACTGACGGCGTTATGCCTCGCCAGGTCGCTCGGCTTCATCTCAATCAAACCCAACGTCGTGAACTCGAACTTTGAGATGGTCTCGCGCAGGTCTAAGCATGGAAAAGCCCAGTCTACCTCGCCATCGTCTTCAGTAATGTAGAGGCCGTAGCGCGAGATGTCCTCTCTGAAAATAACCGGCGAAACGAGCTTTTTCTGTGAATAAACCTGGCCGAGCGTGTGTGGCTGCGCGAGGTCGAGCTAGTTACAAACTTCAAATTATGATCGGGATGTTCACTTGCATATTTGTAGCAAATCAGCCCGATGAAGTCTAGCACGCGTGCAGTCGCCGTGACGACCACCTGCAGCGGATACGTTCTCTCCTCCTTCGGCAGCATGCACATGAATATCCTGTATTTCCTTACGGGTATACCAACTTGTGCCTACAATTTACAAATGCATTCATTACCAAGGTTAGGGAGTAACGCGTTGTAACGCTGTTTTTCTTTTGTTAAGGACCGTTTATAATAGCAATAAGCTGATTAACCAACTACAATCGATTATTCTTGGATTGTAAGAATTTAATTAATTTAATATTTACATCTTACTGCATACTTTACGGCTATTGTAAACAGTTTTTTATAGTTACTTTTCTTCAGTAACAATTTGGTAACGACGTTACATTGTTTCATTAATAACATAATTACATTTTTTTAGGTAACGAATATAATCATTACTTTTATAACTTTGCACACGTACATGAAACGAGTAGATGCGAATTCTAAAAAAAAAAGATCTTCAAAACTCGTTAAAAAAATAACGGGAATTTTACTCGTTATTTCTTGAGTAACGAGTTTTCAAAAGTAACTTTTCCAACCCTGTTCGTCATAAAAGAGACTACTATTCTTGAAAAGTGAAAATTACATATACATGCTGTACAATTTCTCCAACTTGTAATGGTGTTACATACATTGCCGTCGAATTTGGCATATTCCTTGAATGGATTCTGAGGTAAGTTCGGACATTTCTCGAGCTGCTCCGAGAGAAGAGAGTGTCCTCTCTTCAGCGACGTGTTCTTACGAAAGTCCTTCCTCTGAAATAACTCTGACTGATCCATAGGTGTTACAACATTAGGATTATGTTCCCACTTGACGTGCTTGACTTTGGCAGCTTTCTTCCTTTCCATGTCCATCTTTTCAAGCCTCTGTGCAGTGTTGGATCTCTGTCTGTGACTGAATTCCATGTCTGGAACAGTGTTACAAGTGAGGAGAGATTTACAATTTAACTTAAAAGTAATGATTAGTGATATCAAAATTATTTCAGACGGGTGATTTCGAGCAAATCACACCAGACCCTTGTGATTCACGATGTATGATGAGCACCATTGTACAGTACAATAGAAGTACATACCCATTTGTATGTCATAAGACTCCGCCAGTGCATCCAATCCATCCTCATCGTCGCTCTCCTCCCTTCCAGGATAACATTGCAACATTCCACTTTCCTGCATTTGCTTTGGAATGTCTTCTCCTAGCATTACCATCTCACACATACCTTAGAGTCAGGAGCAACACAAGGTAGCGATTAATTCAATTTATCTCAGTGATTTAATTATTTTATATTAAGCTTCTTGTCAAGTATAATATAAACTTTGTAAGCTTGCACAATATCAATATTATCTGAGAGAAGGAGATCTTTACTAAGTCAGTCAAAGTCTGAGCAACGTTTGACACTTAGTTTCTAACCTAGGCTTATCTGTATTTAATTTATAGCATACCTGTGTCATCCGTGGCGAGGAAGCTATCCCTGACGTGCGACAGAAGCCAGTGCTGATTGTCGTACAGGGCCATTTTCTTCTTTTAATTGCCCAAGATCTAGCAGGTATATCAGGTAAGATCAACTAAAGTAATAACGATACAAACGATACAATGTGTCGTTCACAACTGACTCATCGGTCCTTTTTACAAGCCGGAGGATCGATTTACGCGCTACTACCATGCTTCACTTCTCAATGAACGTCGCGAAGCTCGCCACGCTCGCCGGTCGATGGTATCTGTCTGCGCTGCGGCTGTCGGTTTATCAATCGACAGTAATGGAGGTAACGGACGCGCGCAATTCCATTTTTGTCGTTCGGTATCGATCGCGATATCGATTATATAATTTCTCTCTAAGGCGAAAACGTGAAAATTCCAAATGTTTCCAAATTAGAAAATTCATTCTCTCCACGAGTTTACGCTAGAGGGGAAAATTTACGAGTTCCTGAGGATAAGAAGAGGATAAATCTTCTCTAGCGTGAACTCGTGAAAAGTGTAAATTTTCTAATTTGAAAACATTTCATTCTTTAATTTTCACGTTTCCTGTAAGTAGTACGTTTAAAAAACGTTTTTGATGAAACGTTACATATGTTTATAAAACATATGAAATTGCTATCAGGGATATCCTGAAGGAAAATATTTTCAGATCGAGAAATTGACGTTTAATTGACGTCATGCAACGCGATGTTCAATTTTTCTATTTTATTTGCAATATACATTACAATAATACATCTCGACGCGTCGCGCGTCGGCGTTAATCACTACGCAGCGCGAACTTAGCAAAAATGAGAGCTCACGTTACATTCGGTTATCCGACATTTTGTCAGAAAGAAGCTCATCTTTCATAATTATACACGTATCATCAATTATCAAAATTGTCATGCGATCTTTTCATTTGAGCGTTGAAGCTCAGGTGACCGCAACTTGAGAGACCGTTTCCGGTCCTTATGATCCGGGGACTTTCTGCACTGCGGCAGCGGCAGCTGCATTCGGGGGGTGGTTCTCCAGAATGGCGCCCCAGATCGCCACGGCCACCCCGCCGCAAGCCCCCTCTTTGGCATCGGTGTTCTTCTTGAAGTTATGCACTGAGTAACGGTTGTAGAGACCCCAGATACTGTTCATCAGCTTGCTGTTATACTTGAGCGGCGTCAGCTCCCAACCTATACATCCAACAAATCTCGTCAGAGTGAATTTACTAACGAAATAAGGCACATCGATGAATTATTGTTACAATTTGCTGTAGTTCGTTTCTTCGAATATACAGGATGTCTGAGTGTTTAAGTTGCAGTGTAAACAAAAAAATCTTCCATCCTAAAGGTAGCACAGTTGGTGGTTTCATATTACACACGTCTCAAGAAGATGTATGAAACTAACTATGCTACCTCTCTGGAATATGACGGTTTGCGTCAGATACCTTGTATTAACTAGGCAAGAATTACCTTCTAGAGGAGGTCTCGAATTGAATAAACTCTCTTTGCCGGCCTTTTCTTTTCCTTCCATGGCCGACATTGAGATAGCTCGTTCCTCGTTATAGTGAACTTTGCACGCTGCAAAAGCACCTTGCGGAATAGCAGCCATTTTTCCACAGTCTGAAAAAAAGATTTAAATATTTTTATACTCAGATAAATAAATATAATAATTTGCGTTATTTCACACATTGTTACAACAAGCGAATGAACATTTTTAAATAAACTTATATATATGATAAACACATACTCAAGACGTCCAAAAATGATAAAGTTTCGGAAAAATGTTTTTTTCTGTCTTTTTTATTTCTTACCTTCTTTACGGGGAAAAATTAATGTGACACCTTTTAATCGAACATATGTGAATTTTTCTAAACGAATTTTTGTACCTTTGGGACAAAAACCGAAGAAATGCGAGAAAAGCGATTTTCTCTGAAACTTTAAAACTACACCTAAAATGACTCCAAACAGGATATCCTGAACATGCCCAGAATGATCTCATGTTATTTGCATATTTTTGTATCACACGATAATTGCAATACACTTTGCGTCTAATGAAAGAAATTAATTTGCACAAACATAATCTACATATGTGATAAAAATATTGATAAAAAATCTTTCTCTTATTTGATTAATATCTTTGTTCTGTATGTAATAAGTCTGTGTTAAACTTGGTTATTTATGAAGCGAAATTAGCGCAACACTTTCGTGCGCGACTGATACATAGCGCGTCGATGAGCCACAGTCTTCGATAGCTATTAATATACATCTCGCTTGTATCTTTGCATTTACTCTCCGCGGCATTGATAACTTCGTTGATACTCGATAACCACGGAAACGTGCGTTAACAGCGCCGTTATTATCGCCGTGTAAAACACTTCTCGTGCTCGATATTAACCAAAATGGGCCCGATTTTTGAGTTCGTACGATTAGTACACGAAAGCTAGAAAAATTCACTTGCAAGAGCTTCGGAGCGCATCAAGGGGACCCTAAGTTTCGAAACTAATCGTACGAACTCAAGAATCGTATCGTTTCATTATCGATACATGAGAGAGAATAACACTAAACATCTTTTTCAGGCTCTGTTTCCTACATCTCCTCCTGAAACTAACCGATGCAATTTTCGAAGAGCAACTCCTTTATCTGTGAATTCCTGATGAATTCAGTTCGCGTTCCCAGGCTTGCCGTGCTCCTTCTGTCCCGCCTTGCTCGTCGAGTTTCTCTCTTCGGGATCGTCTCAAGCCTCATGCAGCCGCCAACGGTAGTGGTCTCGGTAAGAATCATCAACCAATAGGTTCGCCCTTGTCGTCAACTCTCGAGAGATCAATTCCTCGATTTCACGTGTGTACGATCCGTCTCCGTCTCCGAAATCTTCACGAATAAGCCAGAGTGATACTGGTGCCTGGCGCGATGGCTGCTCTCATTTATAAGCTCGTATCAAGTCAACGAAACGAGGAAGAAAGAGAATGATGCAGCGAGACGGAGATAGACGCTTCCATTATCTGCTGCGTTTTCAGCACGACATAATAAGAGCGACCTATTGGCGGCCTTCGAGATCCTCGCTGACGTTGCCCGACCACCGCGGCGTACCCTTATCAACTTCATTATCTTTGGACCCGAGAAGACATCTTCTGCGTAGCTTCGCGTATCGAGCCCAGGCTCGTAGCTAGACTCGTCTGGCTCGACGATACGCAATAGAGTATTGCACGTATTTGTAAGAAGAAAGACATCTATAAGCGCTGTCTTCCGATTTGTCGATTTAATTTTTCATTTATCAAATATCTCTTAGATGTTATTTGAGAGACATATAAGCAATAGAGGTATTTGCGAAGGAAACGGAAGAGATGCTTAGGAATAAATAGAATTGTCGAAAGACATATCTAATGATACGGAAAACAGAAAAAATTTCGTCGTGACCAGCTGAAACAATAATAAATGAATTTGAAGTAGTTCTGGATCGTACGAATTTTTAATACCACAAAAATACAGACTATAATATTATTATCTTCCTTCCAAGTATCTGTATGAAAGCGCACTTTTATTTATAGCTATTTCAACGTCGTATTTTGTCTCGAGTCAATATTGTTAAGAGAAGAAGTGAATAATAATGAATGCTTGAAAATAATTCTTGTTATTCGGGGGAACGTCGTTATCTAATTTTTTTCATTAAACATAAATTTTCCTTTACTTTCTGATTAAAAGTCAAATCTTGTTGTCGTTAGATGCTGCGTTTCGAGAAACTGCACATTAATTTATTATTCGTGCATACTTCTCAAGATTATTGCACGTATAAACACAAAATTAAATAATTAAAAAATTAAATAAATTATTATATTTTTTACAAGTATTTTATAAATTACCGAGTTATTCTCTCGCAATCTGGCGGATGTGTAAAACGCCGACGTAGTTTCTCGTGGCTTTTATTGTTATTATTTGTAAGGCTTGTAGACCACTAGCAGAGATTTCTCGCTAAGGAGAAAGTCGTTATCTCAATAAACATAATTATCAAAATAAGAATACCGGGAATCGGTGGCGATGTCATCAATAGCCGGGAACGTTCAATGTCCGGTAGCGGGTCTCAGTAGTTTTAGCTTCATCAAATCATATTCCTCTCCTCATAGTAACACTCGACAATTCACGCTGCGGCAGTTATCGTAAATAGGACAGTTGCATCAACAGCGCATATGTAAGGGAGACCATGCAAGATGGTCGAATGTATTTCGAAACGGTCGCCATTTATCGCGTTTAAAGTTCAAAATTGAACGAACCGCTCGGTAAACATTTTCGTGATACATTTCGCCAATTAATCCGCGATCAAGGGGAAATCCGGTAATTCGGAGATGTCGGCGAATCTCGAGGTTTGACATGTGCGCGATTGGTGATTCGTATATCGATAATTGCATTTTTTTTTTCCTTTACAAAGTCGTCTTCATGAGAGATTTTAGAGAGCACAAAATGACGCTTTGAAGAGATCTGTCGCTGGAATTGTGAGAAATTTCAGACGAATTGGATTCAGCAATTATATACTCTTATACTCTTATACTCTATACACTTGGATTCAGCAATTATATAATCAAATTGATACATTTGTCTATTAACAAATATGTAGTGTGACTTTTCTTAGACTTCTCGCATATGTATTTCTTTTTTCCGCCAGGGGTTATCTCCAAGCTTCTGATATGATTTCTAATGAATTATACGGTTGAAGTCTCTCTCACGACGGGCGATAATAGTACAATATTATTTGTCCAATTTGATTATGTAAGGTTGAATCATCGGATCATGTAATCGAGAAATCACGTACGTAACAATGGTCGAGAATATTATTTGCAAATTTGACTCCGCTGTCGCGAATATATTTCAAACCGACAGATTTGGTTTGAAAAAGTTCAACCGATTTGAAATTCAATGTTAAAGACGCATGTTCGCGCGCAATTTGGATTAAAAACAATATCAATCAACTCATTTTACGAACTCACGGATGTTTCGGCGTCATCCGTGAGATAAGAACGACCTTTTTGTGAGTAATTATCTTTTCCAATGGCAGACCAACTTCTTTTGTTGCCAAGAACTTTGGTCCACATTTGTATTGCTTAATCATCATGTCTGGATTCGTTTCATGCACGTAATCGATGACTTAAAATAGAAATGCTTATTCATTCAAAAGAATAGGAGTTTCTACTGCATTTTCTATTCGCTGATCTCGTTTATTATGTTTTTTTAATCTGTTTAGTTAATTTTAATAGTCAAAGTTGTTTATTACCAAGATCAGAAGTGACATAATTCTTATCAAGTGCAAAAAATTGTACAAAATTTAATTTTACATTGTATAAAAAGAGATTGAATCGAATACGACAACACACGATCTGGTGAGATGGAGAAAGAAATATAAACATAGATGATCGCACAATCAATTTTTCTCGTAGTCGTGCGACCACTTCGGCTTCCTCTTCTCCAGAAAACTTCGTATCCCTTCCTGCGCGTCTCTCATTTTCAAATTTTCCACCATTGTTTCGGTGCCTCGACGATACGCCGTCGTTACGTCGAGATTTATTTGCTCGTGCAGAAACATCTTGCCGATGTGCATAACCGAGCGGCTCTTCTTGTTAATCGCATCTGTAATTCGGTGGACTTCTTCGTCTGAAGTTAAAATCGCAAGTGTAATAAGAAATTTGCCGAAAATTTACAGCTTACTACAGTTTATTATTATTAATAATAGTTACAGCTATTTTTGAATCTTGCCAATTTTTTGAGAAAGCAAGTACTCCTAAATTGCGCGTAATGTATCAACGTCATACGAATTTGATATTAATCGAAATTAGTATCTTTAATTCGGAGTCTCTTCACGGTAAATATGTTATGATAATATAAAATCTTTATGATAAAAGGAAAAAAAAAAGGTTCAGTTAATTCATACTTATTTGGCTTGCTTCTAGCGACGCTCCTCTAATGCTTTGTATAATAACGTTTCAGGGTGACTCACCGAGCTTATCAGTTGGTACGACCTTGCTAACGAGACCGCATTCGTAGGCTTCTCTGCCGGAAATGGGGAACCCCGTGAAGAGCATATACGACGCATTCTTCCTCGGCACGTTGCGCACCAACGGTATACCAGGTGTCGAGCAAAATATCCCGAGATTCGCCCTGAGGAAGGTATTATTATAAACGAATATTACGCTTCTCACGCTCAGGTGAACTCTCGAGGTGAACGCAAGAATTAGTAAACAATAATAAATGGATTATATAAAGTACCCCGGAGTGGAGAACAAACTTCTGTCCGTGCACACCGCGATGTCACACGCCGCGACCAACTGACAGCCTGCCGCAGCCGCCAAGCCGTCCACCGCCGCGATCACCGGCACTGGACTCTCACTGATGGCTTGCATTAGTTCCGAACAGGTCTCGAACACTTCCGTGTGCGACTTGTTACTGGTAGCCGTCTGAACAACGTGAGCTGATCATTTCTTTTCCCTTTCGACAGATAGGGAAACCGAACTAGCTAGTCTTGCTTACGAACCAATTCCTTCAGGTTGTGTCCTGCGGAAAATACCTTTCCCGTCACGGACGTCAGTACGATCGACCGGAGCTCTTGGTTGTTCTCGTCCTTCTTAATCTCGCTCATCAGGGCCTTCAACATCTCCAATGATAGAGAGTTGAGCGAGGCAGAGTCACTTAATTGTATAGTTCTGACCTGAAGAATAAGATGAAAACACCGACTATTGAAAAGGTAAGTTAGTACAAATTATGTGCTATATAATTTTATCATATATGTAACATTAATTGTAATATTAATTTATATGATATAATATTAACAAGGCTCAGTAAAATAAAAAGAAAGGCCAAATATGCGTGATGAGTTTATGTACAAAAGGTCATTTTTGTTTATATTCACCGAAGAGGATCCGAAAAGCATGGAGCAAAACCTTTGTACTTTATGCGCATATACAGGGTGTCCCGAAATTAGGCCGAAATATTACGAATGTTTTTCTAAGGGACTAAAATAAGTAATTCTTCATATATTCTTGTTTTGTTGATCAAATAGCCAACATTTGGAACAACTGTTAAAAATTATTATTTGTTCTTGACATAAGTGATTATCACGCGCGAACAACTGTGTTTGGCTCTGTGTTTGTTCTTTTCTTGATGTAATATTAATTAAATAATTAAAATAATTATCGATATAGATATTTTTGTAGTTAAATAATACTCATAATGATTATTAATAGATCTGTAATTTTTTTATTTGTAAGATAGAGAAAATTGAATAGATTTTCTCATAGCAATTGGTAGGATGCAGATTGACTAAAATTGAAATTGTGTTTACAGAATTAAAAGAAATAACATCGTTCCTGAACTTTTAATATTTGGAAGAATATATATATCGACGCGTAACACTCTCACCCCATCTTTCTGTGTCGTCTCTACGTATTTTTTATTGACGGATGCCATCCCCCTGATTGACAACGCCTTCGTGATATATCTTCCCATCTGCAATATTAAACGGTATTCAATCAACAAAGTATTATCGATTAAAGTTATTTTATCAAATAAAGTTTTATCGTTAGAAAATTATAGCTTGCACGGTTTCCGCGCTATTTAAAATATTCCCGCGTTCCTTTCATGATGTCGTCACAACTACTCGAGTCAATCAGCGACGAGCAGACACGATTTTCTGAACAAAAGTACAGTTTTGTAATACGTGCAACATACGTAACACAGCTGAGAATTTTATATCGTCGTACAGGAATTATGTAATCGTGTACGGAACTTGCACAAAAATTACAAACGTATTATATAAAATATCAAATACCTGAGAAACAGCTGAGCCATTTTTTATCACGAACCTCGAGATAATTGTCATTTCGCGATGATACTATATTTTGTTCTGGATTTCAATTAATTCGAGTTTATCGCGCAATTTCAACTTGGTACCGATTGATACTGACGTGATTTGGATCGGAGTGCAACAAATAACAGTTATCGTTGACGTAGGTTGCAGTCACGCTATAGTACGCACAAAATGATAGTAGGCGTCTTATCTGTTAGCCCGCGAAATTTTGAATGATTAAGAATCGGATAGCTTCTCAATAGGATGAAATTTTCTTGAGCGATAAAACCTTTAAAGCAAATTTTCCACTCGAATTGATAAGAGTAAAAGAGAGAGAGAGAGGGAGAGAGTTCTCCGCTAGATGGCACACACATAGGCCTTACAGTATCGTATACATGTGAAAATAATTCGGGGCACCTGATTACGTATCTAAATTTTATACCGAATTATTGAAATTAACAAATACTTAACATGCTTTAAAATTATCTTCTCCTGGAAACTAATTATACAATATTTCTCATTATACTTATTGTAATTATATATATATATATATGCTTATATAACTCAATGAGAGAAAGAACAATATAGCTCAATAAAAAGTATTAGACTCTTTATATTATCATTCAGACTACGCGCACGCACGCATGCGCACTGATGCATGCGGTGTGCTAGGACTGTAAACAGCTTAAGCAGGCGTCAAAGCTCTTCTGTGTGTCACTGTTGTTGCATATTCTTCCATTATTGTTGCTCAAACTTAATGTATTGCAGTGCAGCTCATGAGGCAGAACTAAAGTTATGAAAATGATGAGTATAGATTGAATTTGCTCCAGTAAAGTGGATTTTTCATTGAGATAAGACGGTTGATGCAAGAAAAAAGTCAAAGGTAATGACTGATACAATGTGTTAAATTGCCAGACAGAAGCTAAGCCTGAGAGTGATCCTGCTGGATTGAAATTATTCAGAGATGTGTGACTGGTCTATGGACATGTGTCTATTATTGATAGACCTTTACGAACGACATCCGGTGTTATGGGACCCCAAGCATTATTATTATTATTCCAAGAAGAAGAAATTGGATGCATGGGAGGCGATAGCTCAAAGTATGAATCTCGATATGAAAGTTGTGCGACAGAAGATGGTCAGTTTGCTTGGTTCCTTTCGGGCTCAGAAGAGCAAAGGCAAGAAGTCAATAGGAACTGGAGCAAGTATGTAAAAGCACAAACTAAACGAGACATATGATAATATAATTTTTTGAGCTATTATATTTCAAAATACTTTTATTTTGTTAGAGGTAATTTGCTCTGTATATTACTCCGTATGTATTAAATACTTTAACTTACAGATAAAAGAGACGTCTACATTTCCAAATGGTTTGCATTTGAAAGGATGCATTTTCTACTAGACAAGGACGAACCCAGAAATCATATTCATGCCGAAGCAGTAAATATCACAATGACATACTTAAAGGATTACGTTATGTTAATTAGTTTCTAAACTCACTCTTTGATAAACCCGTCCAACTGACACCTCTATTTTCAGGGCAATTCAGACCTAACGAACGAATCTGGTCCTTCGTCGCCTCTATCAGATGAGTACTTTCACGAGCCGACCACCATTATAGAGACGCCTGACGACTCTCACGTGATGTTACTGGACAACGACCAGAGCAACTTGACGGTGGATGAGACGGACGACTGCAATGTGCTGGGGAAAGAGACCCGAGGTTCTAAACGGTCGAGGAAGAGAAAACTGTCGCAGGACGGTCGTAGGGTCGATCAGTCGTTCGACGCGCTACAGGACGCGCACATGTATTCGTACGCGCGGGCACAATTGATGCAGGATCGTTTCTCTACGTACGGCGAACACGTGGCGAACAAGCTGCGTATGTACAGCACGAGGACGCAGGCGATCGTCGAGCACGCGATCAACAATATCCTCTTCGAGGCGGATATGGGCAACTACGAGAAATTCGAGGCGGACGATCCGATGATCTACAATCACTTCCTCAAGTGTCCCGTGGTCTCGTCCAGCACGGCGTCGTGCCACAAGTCCGAGCCGTCGTAACGACCGACTATTGTGAATTACACTGCCGTGATGCAATGTGCGAACCATATTGATGCAAATCAAGTCCAGTGTCGATTCGCTGTGTGTATGATGAAAGTATCATGTATGTATGTATGTATGTGCGCTTGTATAAGAGAGATTATTTGTGTATATAATCATACGATGTATTACCTTGATTATATATATGCATGTAATGGTATATATATATAGTTCATAAGGCTCGACTCTTAGTTTGAAATAAAATGATAAGCTAATGTGTCACAGGCCCGTCCATGTTCTATGTCCAGGTTTTCCGTTAACGTACGCTCGATTGTACAGGCGAGGTACGGTCATTTTCTACACTGGACACAGAGAAAAATTATTGTAAAAGTACCAATACCTAGACAAATACCTAACTTTGGACGTTCCTGTTCTTTTAAATATATACGGCCTTTAAATGCAAATATTTAAAGATGAAAACAATAAGAATGACGCGTGTCCAAGCGTTGATACTTTAACGGGCCTGCGCGCTCGAACCTTGCAGAAGGTTTGGGAAAAGGGTTGAGAAAGGCGCGTCGTGGCCCCTACCACTACCTCGCGCACGAAAGAGCTCAGTTCCCATAACGACCAGTGTTTCCCTTAACGACCAACATGGCTGAAGCCGAGGGTAAGTAAGCGTCCGCGGAAACGTGTGGCATCGTCGCGTGTATATTTACGACAGGCGCGAATAACACGTCGAGAGATCCAGCCTATTCCGCGTCTTTTCCCGTCGTCGTCTTCGCTGCTTCCGTCCGACGCGCCTTTTCATAGCCCCACTGCCGTCTATTCTAATTATAGGGTAAACAGCCGCGATCACACACCGCCGGTGGCTTACAGTCGCGGGGAGAATTATTGCCGGGGACTGCCTCGGACGGAGAAGCTATTGACCTCGGTTTCGTAAGAACGGAGTTTGAAGGCGCGGAACGGCTGCAACGAGGATGATGCACGTGGTAGATAATCACTGTCGCACGCTCGCTGACACTTCTCTCTCGCGCGCGTTACTTTGCTTCTTTGCTGCTCTCTACCGATGTGTATTGTGTGTTAGAATTTACTTCTGTTTTCTACCGGCAGCCTTAGATCATATTTTTCTGCTTCCGTCTGTTTCTCTCCACACAGCAGAAATATTCAAAATCCTTGTGATGTATTTTCGACATTTCTACTGTATGGTTCAAGAATCTGATCTATTTGATGAAAAATGACTGAGGGTTGTTAAATAAATATCTATCAACTAAATGCTAGTCTAAGATCGGAAAAAAGTACTCGATATAGTGCAGACACTTGTCATAGATGGAAACGTTCCAATGACAAAGCAGATGTCATTTTTGACCAAAAAAGAGAGTTTATTCTGTTACGCGGCGGGGAAAGAAACGGTTCACTTTGTGAGACGGTAGAGAGCCGAAAATAAATACCGCGATTACAAACCGCAGTTGTAAGAGGCTGAGCTCTTACAAGAGCCGGCGGACTCTCTCAGTCGGTGTCTCGATGCGCTCGCAGTCAGATGCTGTGCTGCGTTCCGAAGAGGCCCGCGGACGGGGGCCCGTTCTACGACGAGACCGTTCATGAGATACAGTTCGAGTTGTATTCTGAGGAAGGTGAGCCCTTCTTCTCGCGAGAAGGTTATTGCTCGGCAACTCGATAAGACTCGCGTTTATTTGTCGATCTCACAAAGTGGATCTTGACGAACAAGGCGTCGCCAAGCACGCAAATATCGATGATTAAGCAACTATCTGAAGAAATGTTTTCACGGCAATTAATATCGCTCGAAGATCACGGAGTTGTGTATTCAAAGGAGCTGTTAGTCCAGATTTACGGCAGATGTGGTAAGTTTTCAGTCTTTTGCTCTATAAGCACTACTCGATAAACTCTAATTAACATTACATCGATGTTATAATTTTTCACTCAACAACCCAGTAAGCGAGAAATCATTAACACAACGTCATTACAATGATATTTTATAACATGTAAGATTTTCAAATATGTAATTCTTAATGCTGTATACAATGTCATATTGTTAATAACATTTGCATTAAAAATAATATTATCACGTTATGATTTTAATATCTAGAAATATTATATTACCAAGTAACAGTTTAGGAACATTTATAAAATATTATGTCAAAATATTCAATGTAAAATCAATGTTCCAAAAGATTGCTTTCCTGCTTACTGGGAATGTAAATGCAATATAATGTACGTTGTATATAAAAGTTATATCGTTGAGTGAGAAATTATAACATTGACTTTATGTTAGTTGGTGTTTAACTGGATAAATTGTAATTTCTAGTAAGAAGCGTTCCTTGTGCTACCGGAGGTCGCAATTCTTACATAGAAAAAAAAGTTTGGTCGAAGGAAACAGTATCTCTGATTGTGAGAATCGATTTGTGAAAATTAGAAATTCTGTTTCTTTCGACCAAAACGCATCTATTGTCAAATAGATTCGCTCTTTTCTCCATGTAAGATTTAAGCGTTATTACAACTTTCGGCGGCGCGGAAAGCACCTTTTATCAGAAGTTACAATTTATTGCTTAGAGCGAAAATGTAAAGGCTTACTACACCTATTGCAAATCAGGATACTGTGACACTCGAAGCGTCGTAAAGACTTGTTTACATTCGAATCGGTACGGTTTCAAACTGACACGCACGTATTATTTGAAACTTTTGAAAAATCGCTCGCACCGCAGAGTCATATTGACCTTGTGCGATTTTCCACATCTGAAAAATTGTGGGAGGAAAGAGGTTGACCAAATTCTAAAATAAAGTATAACTTTTTTACTTTAATACATTCATGAAAAATCAAGTTTTAAGTGACTGAAAAAAAATTACTTGTTGCGTCAAATTATACGCCGATCACATATTACAGGTCCAACTGACACTCTGTGTCAAATTCAAACGGCTTCTAAACACTTATCAGATCTGGATGTGGGGACGCACTTCTCTTTCTGACTCATAATGTGATTAAAAGAGTCGAATATCACTGTTCTCTTGCAAAATCGAGAGATGATCCATGTCGCTAGCAGAACGCTTGTTTTTTCACCTAACACCTCGCGTCTAAAAGCGGTTATGAGAATCGTTAATAACGCGCCTCCGCGGCCGCATACATGATCAATTCGCACCGGCTGAGCAATTGCATTAAGAGTCTCGGCGACCTTAGACGCGCGAAAAACAGTAATAGCTGACGAGGAAAAAAAACTTGTTCGGTTCTTTCTAACGCGACTCGCCTCGAAAGAAAACGAAACGTTCGTCTGTAGGCGTCGTTAAACAAAACGTCTTGATGGAATGAGATCACTTGACAGCGTCGCGGGTGTCACGCCCTCGTGAAAAGCTACCGGGGAGATCTTTCATCGCCATTAGCGACATTGGAAAACAGGAAATGCGTTATTAGCAATCGTGAAAAACCGATTGGAAAAATATTCATTTAAATATGTGCGCGAGTTTTAAAACTAGAAAAATAACACATATTCCCACGTAAGAGACAATTCCGTCGGTGTAACTGAATTTTCCGTTGATCGGACGCAAATTAGTATTAACTGTATTTTTAGTGACGTATCAAGGTACCGCTCGATAAATTTAGTATTTATCGAGCAAAATTACATTTCTATACATGAATTTCACTATCTAGATGATAAATGTTAATTTGAAGCTGAGGTAGATAACCGTGCAGGTAGAGCAGAAAAGTCATTTTGCAAAATTCGGAAGTGAAGAATGAATGATTTCGTCTGAACGCACAGGAAAGGGTATTCTATTGCTTTTGTTATGATATGTAAAGTAACGCGTTGACCCACATTTGACATGGTTATCTCGCGAAAGAAAATCACATGCAGCCTGAAACGTTCGACTCTCTATACGCGTGCGGGAACGGAAGGATTTTTTCTACGCGCCTGACGGATGGATACGACGATCGCAAGGCACGTCTCGCGTGACGTCTAAAAAAGGAAGCTTGCTCGCCTGTAGGCGAACGAGGGGGCGACCGTCTTCGGTGCCGCAGGTGTCCACCTGGATCGTGCCGGCGGAGAGCTCCGCGTTATTTTCAAAGTCCTCTGGACGATCGATCCGTTGGAACGTGCGGTAAAAACGACCGAAAGTCATTGATTTCGAACGCGATGTTGACACGATGAATTAACGATCGCCGAGGAGACGTGAGAAAGGATATATTACGCGAAACTCACGTGGGTGAAGCGAGCGAGAAACCGACGCAGGTATTTGGTTGCGCGGGCAAAAATTCATTGTATTCCAATGTTTCGGTCATTGCGAAACGAAATTATTTGGTTGTCTCATCGCAAGCCCCGAAATATCTGCGTTGCTTCCTGATCGCCTTTACATAATCTATACCGTCGAAAAATGAATGGCTCATTGAAGCGCGCGGCTCGTAACAACTGGGGCACTCTGGGGCCGCGTTGCGCAATTCCTGCGGCGATCGAAGAAAGTGCGATTTGCAATTTAGATGACCGGAGGTTGTGTCGTATTTGATCTCTCGGCGGAACGATCAGCGCGCGATGATGTCGGGAGGAAACACGTTATTCCAGCGAAGAGATTTAATCACTAATCGTCGATTGATGGACGCAGATGCATCGCCGCCTGTCCTGCTGCCGTGCGCGATCTGCGCGCGGACCTTCATGCCGCAGTCGTTGGAGAAGCACGCGAGGATATGCGCCGCCGCGAAGAAGCGCAAGCCCTTCGACTCGGCGAAGCAGAGAATCCAGGGCACCGAGCTGGCCGAGTTCCTGCCGGAGGCGCGCCAGGACGAGAGCGCCGTCTCGCCCTCGTGGAAGAAGACCCACGATGACTTTCTGCGGGTCATCCGGCAAGCGCGCGGCGAAGTCGTGAGTCCGAATAATATTCGAACGCATCAATGGAAAGACCCACATCCGGATTTTTCAGGTCAACACACGTAAAAAATCCAATTCGTCGGGTGCACTGACTCGCGCCAACGACAAGGGCATCTGTCCCACGTGCAATCGTCAATTCGGCATCAAGGCCTACGACCGTCACGTGGCCTGGTGCAAGGACAGGGTCCCCAGTATACCGATAAGCCCGGCGGTCAATTTGGCGAAGGAGAGATTGGAGGCGCGCATGAGGTACAAGGCGCCGGCCCTGAAGAATCGCCGAGCCGCCAATCGTGAGAAGTACAGCTCGAATCAGTGCAAAACCTCGCCGGCGCTCGTAAAGCCGAAGGAAAGCGTCTCGTTGCCCAACTGTAGCCCGCAGAAACCAGCTGTCGTGTGAGTTCTCAACCGTTTTATCGACCTTAGATTTGAGAAATGTAACGCGACGCATAACTTGGTTCAATCATTTCTCTAACGTGCTTCTTCTCCCTTAAACACCTGCATTTCTTTCGCGTATTAATTGATTGTTAAACTTAGCTGTGTTTTACAGCAGACGTCCTGGCCGACTCAAGGAGTCCCCTATCTCATCCGGGCCTATTAAATCTCGTCTCTCGGATCGCACAAACAAGTAAGATGATTTTATTTAACATCGCTGTTTTCTGAAAGACGCTCTGTGGATTTTAGCGTAGTGAGTAAGTAAGATAGATTAATGCCGCCCATGAGGAGAAGGGAAAAGGATGATCTCAGAAGTACTTAATAGTATAGTAATAAGAAAGTCGCATGTTTGAGTGCGTCGTCATTTTTCCACACGCTTGTAGTGAAGTCCGACAACCTTCTCCTGATGACTGTCACACGCACATCCTTGAACCTGCTTCCTTCTCCTCAGGCCAGATCACCATTACTTGCCGAAAACATCCTGTCAACCCCCTCCCGTCCCGTTATCCTCCCGTCGTCCTCCACACGTACCCTCCTTGAGACATAGAATCGACGATTCAGTCTCTTCTAACGAGATCGCGTCGCCTAATTCGGCCGGAAGACAGCCCAACCGAGACGAAACGATCTCTCATCACGCTCCCAGCGACGAGCTGAGAAATCGGGAAGTTTGCGCCGTCAAAGCGCAGAAGAACATCGTTTTCGCCAGGAGTCGCGGTAACCCGAAACTCAACGACGTCGCCGTGAATGACGAGACTTTAGGCGTGTCAGCCTTGCGGCCTTGTAAGATATACAAGGATTCGCAAAGGAACGATCAGTTGGTCACGCGGAAGCAGATCGGTCGCAAAAAGAGCACTCCTCGGGCGACCGATGTTGTAATTAGCTGTAATTTTCCGCAAGAGCTTCTCGACCGGCAGCCTGAGAAAGAAATCGACACGGAGAAAGATTCACCGATCGCAAAGAACGAGCCGGATGACAGCCACATCTCATGGCTGAACAGTATCCAGAACTTGAATCAGACATATTTGATCAGGGATTCGGAGGATATAGAGATTTTTCAAAGCAAATGGACCGAATACAGTCCTCGCATGGAATTCTATTTCAAGGATACGCAAAAGGCCGAAGTGGATGAAAAGAAATTGAGGAGAAACGTCAAAGCGAAAAACGAAGAGATCACTGAATTGAGCATTGACATGACAGAGGAATCAAAGATGAGTAACGAAACGGACGTAAATAAGGGAGACGAGAGCGAAGATGAAAAAGATAGAATTCGGAAGAAGACGAATAATGTAGACGTTGCTGCAAACTCGGGTGAATTATGTATGGATAAAAGATATGAAAAAGATAAACAGATAATAACGGTGGACCAAGACGCTACTGAGGCAAAAGAAATATTGGGAGAAAATAAAAATCTACCGTGGAGCAATATTTCACAAGATTCTCGTGAATCATCTGACGTGGTCTACCTCGCCACACCGAAGGCATCGACAGCACATGAAGAATCTTCATCAAGAGAATTCAAGGTAGACTTTCCCGGTAATAACAATCTTCCTCCGGAGGGCAGATATTTTCATTCGAAACACCAAGATTTGGTACTTTGCTCCGACGACGGTAGCGATTTGGCGTTTTCAGACAGCTTCGTCGATCCGAATCAAGATTACAACGAAATGTCGCGAGTTGAAGCGAAAGAGTGCGTTAATTTCGGTGATTTTGAAAATAACGAAGATGACAACTTCGGCGACTCGAACATTAAGACAGAAATCCTCGGCCGCTCGATAGGCGAGGCAGAACCGTGCTGCGGTGATATCGCCATGGATAACGAGTCGTTCATCACGCCGAAGGAATCGCGACGTTGTCGCGGAAAAATAGTCCCGGACGCGAGCGTGAATTTATCGAGGCGCACGACCGCAGGAAGCGTGAAGCGCAAGATCAAGGGCAGCATGAATCTTCTTCGCGACAGCACCGACTCCTTGATATCCTCGGTCGAATTCATGGAACTGGCGTGCATCGAGCGGCCGGAATCTCACGGGAGAGAAATGATCAAGATAATCAGGCCAAGCGGCAGGATGTTTCTGCCGGACCTACCGGTGGAAACGAGGGATGCGAACGGTGAAAATCGGACATACTGGGAGAGAGCATCGGAGATCTCGCGGAAAAGATTGATCGATCCTCCGTGCCAGGTGGGCTACAAGCTCGCTAAGAGGAATCCTAGTATCCTACCACCAGTCATCCAGAATTTATCCTTCGTTCGACAAAGGTAGAGATCGATAGAAAAAAGGTGTTGAAGAAGTAGAAAAAGTTCAGTCTAAATTTGATCGATACGCGCTGTAAAAGGTAACATAGTGGTAGCGTAGTAGAATGGCAATCTTCCCCGGTAGAACGGTAGTTTGAATTTAACGCGTAAACGATATTGTAGGAAAATCGAACTGACGACACGTCCCGCCTGGTGCAATTACGTGCGCAGACGGCCGGACTTTAATCTCGTGCTTAAGGCTAGAACGTAAGTTCCAGGAATCGGTGGCACGAGGCGGATTTTTTGTTTTAATGTTCGTTGAGAGCGGTCATTAGCAATGTTCCTCGTACAGGACGCACCAAAAGTGACGTTGAGCAAGTGTTATTCCTCACTCGAGAATTGAATGTCTGAATTAACTTTTCTTTTCTCCAAAATAGACTTCCAAAATTCTTTTTCGACACCTTAGCTTGCGAGAGACTGACCCTCACTCTGAAGAAGTGATGAACTGAAATGTTCGTCGGATGCAAATCTATAAAGCCACATTGAATTGCTTTGTATTTTCTTAAATATACTTTTACATAATTGCAACATCATAAATTTCATGCAAGATTATCATTTTATAAATGTTTTTGCATGCAACTAATTATGTTTTACACGCAAGAAACCCGACCGAATTACCTAATGGGGAATAACGCTGCGTAACGCTCTCGCCGAGTGAATTATACCTCAGCAGCTTGGCGATCAGATTAGAGCTCGCACGCTGCACGTAGAAAACGCGAAGCACGCCACGTGATCACGCATTGTGTTCGGCGTCGAAGTCACTCCTCCTTTGATCGCGCTAAACAATTCGTAATTGCAGCGGCACGTGCAAGGACTACGACCCGTTCCTGCTGGCCGAGCAGCAGATGAACGATCTGCTGTCGGACACGAGCGATCAATCCACGACGGGCAGCCCGAAGCCTCGCGAAAATCTTTATTCTCTCTCTCATTCGTCCGCATTTGTGAAATATCCTCGCCAGACGAGTCCTATCGACAGGAGGTGCTCCTTGATAGCGCCTCCTTCTGAGTTCGACGATCTCATCTCCGATTTCTCGAGCGACTCGACCGAGACCAACTCGATCTCGCGCGAGGTCTTCCTGAAGGACGGCAAGGACGCGATGGACCGGCCTGTCCGCGAACTGGGTAGACGGATGATCATCGACAAGACGAAGGCGTTGGGTGGCGATCTGATCGAGGAGCAGCGTCGCGGCGTCACCAGCGCAGATAAGACGCGCAAGATAGCGATTCCACCCGATCGGCCCGATTCCACCCAACGCGCCTCGTCCGCACCCAGGAGCACCGCCAGCTTCGTCAGGAAGGTCTCGGCCGATGTCGGGAAGGCTAAGTCGACTGAGAGTCGGAGGTCGTCGGATCAGAGTCTCAATCGGAGGAACAACGACTACTCCTCGTCCGGCAGTAATCTCAGCCTCAGCTCGATCGTCTCCTCGGAGATGGACATCAAGCGCTCGAATTCGATGTTCGACGAGCTCATGACGTCTCTCGAGGAGGACATCTCCTTCCCGACTTTGAGATCCTTCCTTAATAATGACTCCTTCGACGTGTCCAGCTCCATGCTCGGCGACGGCCAGCGAAACGGTATTGTCAGCGACGAGGAACTGTCTTCGCCCGACAGCTACAAGCCGCAGGATCACGGCAAGCTCAGCAACGACTCCGCTTATAGCAGGTTGGTTTTGCGGCTTGTATATTGAAATGACGAGTCTCGTCGTACATCGGGATAATGCATTCTCATTTGGAACGTTTAGTTTGGTAGGTAAACAAAATTTTTTAATAATTAAAAGATAAATATATGTCAAAAATAAATATTAAAAAATTACTTTTTTTTATATTTAAAAGTATATTAAATTAATTATATAAATTAATCATATAAAATATATATATATATTGTACAATATATTTTTTATAATTAACTTATAATTTATAATTATTTATAACTTTATAATACTGAATATAATAATTGAGTATAAATTACTGCACTGTAGTTGAAACATAGATAAACATTTATGCAAAAGTTCAAAATTGTGCGTCTAACAGTATTTAAAAAAAAATTTCAAAAACTTGCCTACAAAACGACGTTTTAAATGAGAATACCTTCTTAATTGATAATTAGTATTTCGAATCATTTGTATTGTCCTTTTGGATATTTATATATATTAACACTTTCAATTACGTCACGCGATCACTAATGTCATCTGTGTGCTTTAAACTCAGTTCAATTTATGCCCCTTAGTTTAAATCGCAAATATTCGCACCACGGACGCAGCACCAACGACGTGGTCGGTCGTCTCGACGAAGACGTGGCCAGGACGCCGTCGCAGTCGACCAAGTGCAAGATGTCCAAGTTCTGTCACGAATGCGGCCTGCGGTTTCCGGAAAACGCCAAGTTCTGCTGCGAGTGCGGCGTCAGGAGACTCGCGCTGTGATCATCGCCGTATCGTCTCGCTCGGGAGCAGTGAAGATTGGGTATCGTCGAGAGGTTATTCTCCGAGGAGCGGAACGTCCTGAAGGTTAAATTTCGAAAGGATCTTTCGAAGTCGAGGATACGCGAATATTCTATGCAGAAAGAGACGACGGGGATTAACTGCCTTCTCACGATTATACGATTATAAGCGTCTTATAATTCTGACAGCTTTTATAAATTTCGGACTTACCTTTTATGAATTTTGTGAGATAGCATTTTTTTCACGAGGCGCGATGGAATTTTTTGGATCTACTTTAGTTCGCTTCGTAGACAACGCGTCGATTTGTTTGCTATGTTTGAATAATCTAACGATGTATTTGATAAGCGTTTTTCGTCGCGCGCGCACACGCATAATCGCCGAGCGATCGCAGAGTCCGTCCTCTTTTCTACAAATTCGCAAGCGCGTCTTTTTGATAAGCTTTTTGTATCACGAGCAGAATCGTAAAATCTCGAGCATGTTTGTGTGTGTGTTTGTGTTCTCTGTTGAAAATAGGTGAATTAAAAATAATCGGAGTCTATTCCGCGAAAGCAGATATGAGGAAACTGCTATTAAAAATTATCATATATCTTATTTATTTCTATACGTAGTTTATTTTAATTCTAATTAGAGAAAATAATGAATTAGGAAAATTAGTATGGACTTTGAAGCAGAATTAAGATATGTTATTTTCACACTTGTCCAAGTTAGCGTCGATTGATTTCAAATCTCATGTATCTGATCTTAGAAAAGTGTGAACACCTTTTTCGATTTGTTTTAATTCGCCTAATTTTGACAGGGTCTTACGTGTCGTGTACGAGATAGATCGTAGGATAAGTTTAGGAGGTAACTAATGGTGGAGCCGCCGGTACAACTCGCGTCCGCTCAATTAACGCTGATCACTAATGAGAAGAAATAACGAAGCGAGGGGGAACGCGATGCGTACAATAATGTAACGAGAGTGACTCGTTAAGTGCGTTGGTTTGTAACGTACCAAAGAGTAACATTGCAATGTAAGCGTTTTGACAAAACTCACAACGATCGACGTCTAACTCGAAGGAAAGCGTATGAAACTTACGGTATACGACAGACAAATTGTATACATTTCAAACTGTATTTTTGCAAGTGCAATAAACCGATGCTTATACAGATTTGGTAAACCCGATGCTCTCCCGCGAAGGGCCGTCTCCCTATGCGACGAGAAATGCACAAATATACCTGAATTATTCTCGTTTGTTTTGCGATTTGACAAATGAATGCGTGTGAAAGAGCTGTACCATGACAGTTGTTAAGACGAGTCCGTTGGGCATCCGCGAAGATGTGGCACCGAACAATCAGTCGATTAACGCAGACACGTGGGATTTTCGTAAGATCTTGTTGACGTACGGAACGCATCGTACATGATTCACACAGTCTTTCTTTCAGAAATACGCGAGACAATTTCGCGCGACGATCAGAAATTCCAGAAGCTTTCACGTGAACGTTAGTCCAGCGGAGAAGGCGAAATGCCGGATGGAGACTAACGGCAGCGTAAGTGCATTTGTCTGAAATCAAAATTCACAGAAATTTGCAAACATTTTCGCAAGACAAAACTTATATATCCCCCCGTTTAAAAATAGAATGTTCTATTTCGATGAAAGATTGTTCTTTCTTTAATCGATCGGCTTTATATTGCGACTTGGAGTAAAGCCCTCCAATAAACTAATCAGTCGCCGATTCATTCATTGCAGTATCCCTTAGTAGATCATTGCTACGATGTGGTAGTGGTGGGAGCAGGAGGTGCGGGATTGAGGGCTGCTTTCGGCCTTGGCAGCAAAGGATATCGCGTGGCGGTGGTGACGAAGCTCTTTCCGACCAGATCGCACACTGTGGCGGCCCAAGGCGGCATCAACGCTGTCTTGAATGACACGAACGACGAGAGCGAAGACAGTTGGCTCTTCCACATGTACGACACCGTAAAAGGATCCGACTGGCTAGGCGATCAGGACGCCATACACTACCTTTCGAGGGAAGCTTCTCGTGTGGTTTACGAACTCGAGAACTACGGTAAGCATAATAATGAAGCTCGTATACGGTCTTTTCAAGACTGCTTCGTTGAAAGGTACAATATTGTCTTCGCAGGTTGCCCCTTTAGTCGCACGGACGACGGCAAAATCTATCAGCGTGCTTTCGGCGGGCAGTCGTTGAAGTTCGGGAAAGGCGGCCAGGCTTATCGAACTTGCGCCGTCGCTGACAGGACCGGCCACGCGGTACTTCATACCCTCTACGGACAGAGTCTTCGCTACGATGTGCACTACTTCGTCGAGTACTTCGCCTTGGACCTGCTCATGCACGGCCGATGTTGCAAGGGTATCTTGGCATGGGAATTGGAGACTGGTCTCCTGCATCGCTTTAGGGCTCACCATACGGTAAGAAAGAAATGAAACTTTCAATCGTTATCGTTAATAGAATAATCAACGAATTGAAATCGATATTGAAGCCTACTCTCGTAGGTAGTTGCAACGGGTGGCGCCGGAAGATGTTATTTCTCTTGCACCTCGGCGCATTCCTGCACCGGCGACGGCATGGCGTTCGCTTGCCGAGCGGGTTTGCCGCTGCAGGACATGGAGTTCGTCCAGTTCCATCCGACCGGTATACAGATTGGTTGGACCCCCTAGAATGGTTTAACCCGTTGTTGCCCGAACGACTTTTTCAAGTCTTGAACTAAAAAGCTGCTTAATGACAAACCTCTGTTTAATAAAAAACAAAAGGATAATTTATACGAAGCATTTAGAGCATCTTAAAAGTTAGCCGCTTTATTCTGTCATTGTTCGATTTGCTGCGTAGGTATTTACGGCAGCGGCTTACTCATCACCGAGGGCAGCAGGGGGGAAGGCGGCAAACTTCTAAATCGCGACGGAGAGTTCTTCATGGAGAAATATGCGCCCGTGGCCAAAGATCTAGCCTCGCGCGATGTGGTGTCCAGAGCCATGACCGTTGAGATATTAGAGGGAAGGTGGGACAGCGAGTTATCTTTAATTTCGATCACAATTAGGTCGAGTGTTTGAAAGAACTGCACGGAGAAAAAACACGTTTTCATCGAACAAGGTTATACTTCCGGAATACATTTTTCCAGGGGTTGCGGGAAGAAAAAAGATCACATTCATTTGCAACTGAGCCACTTGCCGGCTGACCTGATAAAACAGAGATTGCCGGGAATTTCGCATCTCGCTTGGGTGTTCGCCGGGGTGGATGTAAGGAAAGAACCGATCCCCGTAATTCCCACGGCGCACTACAACATGGGCGGCATACCTACGAATTGGAGTGCACAGGTGAGAATACTCATACATCACTCGGATAGTCAAACCTGAGCAGATCTCGCGCGGTGTCTGCGAGCAGCTTGCTGACAGAAATACAATAGAATCTGATAAGTATGTCGTTGTATTTAAATGGAACACACTTCAGGTATTAACGCGAGAGAACGAGGAGGATAAACCGATCGAAGGTCTTTGGGCCGCCGGGGAGACCGCGTGTGTATCTGTACACGGTGCTAACCGACTGGGCGCTAACAGCCTACTAGAAGTCGTGGTCTTCGGCAAAGTTATTGCCGATCAAATCGACTGTCTCAGCAGGCCTGGCGAACGTCACGAGGATCTGGCGCCGGTAAGTAATTTAGGATCATTTTCCCCAAGCTCATCTGTAGCTTTTCTCACGAAAGCAATTATTATTTATTCTATTCAAATAAATATGTTAGCAATACGAGTAAATCTTTTCTTTATCTTAGATATTTTTTTCTTTCAGTGTAGTATTTCAATGCTAAAAACACTCGATATGTATTCTATTGGACGAAAATTTGATTAATTTAAATTTTAATCGAATAGCCGAAGATATAGTTTAGTAGATTCTTACGAAAACCTCTAAAAGAAAAGCAAATGCAGATTGTATGTACTTAAAAGTTTAAAAACAGAGAAGAAGCCGCATCGTATTTGTTGTAGCCGAATTAATTGTACAAGCTTTGAAATACCTGTTTGTATAATTAAATCGCAGGAGATTGGCGAGCAGACGGTCTGCCGCTTCGACGCGACCCGCTACTCGAAAGGTTGCATTCCCGTGGTCGAGCTGCGCGATGAGATGCAACGTACGATGCAGAACCATTGCGCAGTATTCAGGACTTGCGACATACTGCAACGTGCGTGCAGGGAAATGACTCGGTTCTATACTTGCGATCTGCCAGACTTATGCGTGAGTCGCGTTGATTTAGTACGAAGAGCGGGTTGACATTTTTTAGACAATGTTTCATACTATCTAAATTATTATTTCTGTGTAATGAAAGAAAGTAAACAAATGATAATTTAGATAAGGATTTATAGTATGAAACATTGTCTTGAAATTATAATTCTGCCGAGCCAACCTGTCGACTGAAAGGTAACGCATAAAATGGATATTGCGTATTGTCGGTAACGTAAGACAATTGTTGTGTAAGACAATGACGCACAAGAAGGAACGATTCCGTTGAATGTGTGAAGCGAAAATGTTTTTCAGGTGCATGATCAATCTCTCATCTGGAACACCGAGCTCGTCGAGGCTTTGGAGCTGCAGAACATGATGCTCGTTTGCATGCACATCGTTTACGCAGCTGAAAATCGTAAAGAGTCGAGAGGCTCACACGCTAGAGAGGACTACAAGGTACGTAAGAGCTAAATTTAGAAAACTCGGAATGTTCGATATTCGAATTGTGTATATTTAGAAATAACACTCATCATTCTATCATCATGATTTAATTTAAAACGGAATCAATTCAGTTAATAATATGATTACATATTTTTTTCCCGGGTAAATAATGTGATTACGTGGTAGAAGTTTCCAAGTTCTTAAACTGACAAGTAGTCTGATATCTAATATTCTATAAATTCTTCCTTAAGGAATGGAATTTGCAATTATATATTATGAGCGTACTCTAAATTGAATCATTAAAGAAGTCGAGTAAAACGCTCGTTTATTTTCAGGAGAGAAGCGACGAGTACGATTACTCGAAACCGCTCGATGGACAGAAGAAACGACCTTTCACGGAGCACTGGCGTAAGCATACGCTTACATGGGCCTTGGATGACGGAACGGTGAGTGACGAATTGAATGAAATTTCACGGCAATTAATTGGACATTTTTTGTAAATCACTCAGCTCTGAAAGCTCGCCTTGCCTTGCCCCCCCCCCCCAACTATCGCAATATTAATAATCATACCTTGCTTACAGATTTGCATTTCTTATCGGCCCGTTATCGACACAACGCTAGACGAAACCGAGGCTCAGCACGTACCGCCTACGGTCCGCGCGTACTGATTCGAATGATTAGTCGCGAACAAACGAGTTAATTAACATGTTACGGGAAGGCGACGCGATTACGAATACAGTTGCTTGCTATGCTTCCGGCCGAGTCCACCGTTTAACGTCGAACATACAAAATTTGGGGATTACCGGAGCGAAAATGTCGTCGTCGCCCAAGCTCGTGCGAAAATCCGCACATACTGCTTGTTAGATTCCGGACACCTTATATAAGCGCGTTTTGTGTTTAGCTGGTGACCTCGTGCGCGACAGATGTCGACGATGACTTATCAGAAGGTTTAATTAGTTTGCGTTACACTCGTATCAATTGCGAATGTACGGTGAGAAGAAGCGACGCTTTTCGATCGAGCGCAGCTCGTTGACAAGACGCTTTTGGGAAAAACGTGTTTCTAACAACGACATTTCGATGCGGTCAATCTCTGTTTTCGAGACATTGCGACTCGACAACGCGATTAAGCGACGTAACGTCTTCGAAGAGATACGTTAATCACACACCTACACACCGATAGCGCTATTGTGCTGATGAATAAATTCTTCTTTAAAGAATCAAATTTCGTTCTGTACGTTCAAATTCGAGAGACTTACCTAACAATTTGTATCGTCCTGGGTAAAAATTTGCCACATATAATTCGATATATAAAGTGGTGATGCAGATATATTTTTATAATTATATATGAAAAATTTCCTTTCCCCCCTTGTCATGTCTGCTTAATTTCGACCTGATATGACGTCACCGCACTTTGTATGGAATATTTGGGAACTTTTATAAAGTAATAATATAAATAAGTCAAATATATGTGTAAGATACAAAATTCATATAAAGTAAATAACTACGGACATCGTTTGCAACATAATTATACACGGCGCAAGTGAAAGGTCAAACACAGTTATAACTTAACGGTAGTAACAAGAATATAGGTCAGGGTCGAAAGTGCGTCTTGAACTGGAGAGAATATAGCAACGAGATCACTCCTACGAATTTTTCGGTTCGTAGGTGAGAGGTAGCCGCTTTCGATACTCTCCTCCTCCCCTCTACCTATACTATACCGGGTAGCCAGAATAACGATGATCGTTCTAGCATTGTTTCAAACTAGTTGACGGAAATAAATTTCGCTTCTTCTTTCATTTCATTGCTTCTTTCGCACTGTTTTATTCCAAAATAGAAAAGAAAACACCGTGTTTAAAGCTGGCGTATTACCCCCGCACGCTCTCTTTCCTTCGCAGACGAGTGCGGCAAGTGCGGCTGGATTGCACTTCGAGCTAGACGAGATTTTCCGGTGCGCTCGGTTGGCGGCACTGAGCGCGCGCAACAACGACCGGCGCGTCAGTCGGTGCCGAACCGTCGAGTCTGGAGCGTGTTATCCTTGTTATCATTAAGGGTTCGTGTGTCTGTGCGACTTTAAGAGGGTCGATCTCGCGGAGTGTGACCGAAGATGAGCGGGATGCTGTCGGTTTCGAGGAGTCTGCCCGGAGCGGCGATCTTGGTGAGTAGTGAGATTTTCCTCCGAGATTTCACGGAATACCAAGTGTCGAAACCGTCGGCCGGATCGACCCTACCGTAAGGCGTCGCGACGGGGAGTGACGTGCGCAAAATCTCGATTTCGGCACACCTGGTCTAGGCAAAACCTTTGGCGCGCCATCTTAACAGGAAAAAATAGACGCTTCCCTATTGTCCACTTGCAGACTGTGTTCACCAGCGGGGTTGCGCGGATTCGTTATATAATTTTTTCTCCACCGGTGGTGGGTGCACGATGCGGCGGATCAATTACGTAAGCACGTAGCGAGCGAGTGCGCGGAAACTGCGCCCGCGTGCTCGACATGCCAGACACGCCGCATCCCTCTCCGTTTCCTTCGCGCACTTCTCTCTCGGCAGATGTATGCTCGAGAGGGCTGCGTCTCTCCTCGCTGTTCGGTATTTCGGTCCCGTGATATTAGTTGTCACCTGGTATCGATGTGCGCCACACACATCTGGAATGTGCCCTCGGAAGAAGGCGAGAAGTGACGTAATTCTCGCACAACAGTGTAGAATTATCGTCGCCGCTATTGTCTATTTTTTTTTGTCGAGGGTATACTAAAGTCGATGACGAATTTGATAAGCGTCGATAACGTAGAGGCGAAATGTTACGTTACATAAACACATTTTTTTTCTATATATATTTATATGTCTGTGCGTATGCATATTTGGTCTGTTCTTTGTAGCAGAACTGGCTGCGCTACTTCAAGAAATTTACGCACATTGAAGGATCTCGTGTGTACGTTTCATATCACTTCAATGTGTGTGTAACTTTCTTGAACTAGCGTAGCCAGTTCAGCTAAAAAGAACATATGCTTGTAAATGTAAGTTAAATGTGCGGTTTTACTATATTTAACGAGACATCTAACTAGGATGTATAAAAATTTATCTGCAAATTTTTCCCACCTTTTTAAGACTCTACATTTAATTATTCAGTTTAAGAAAGTCAGCTCCAATAGCCTTCATCTTATTGTTGAAGTCATGCTTTCAACTCATTGTAGATTTTAGCTCGTTGTTTACTAAATTAACTTATTAACAAAAAAAATTGTATAAATAATAAGATGTTTTCTGACAATGTATACATTACAAAATAAGTAATATATGATGAAATGTGTAAATAAAATATAGAAGGGATGCCTCCCTTGTAAACCTCCTCTTATCTTTTTGCCATGTTTTTGATAATTCATTTTTGTCAAGTAAATATTTACTCTTACCGACAGCTAGAGATGTCAATTTAGACATTTTTAATCGTTCGCTCAAATTTATTTTCAGCGTGGCTACGTTCTGAAATTCTGTACTGTCAGTACTAAAAATCGATATAGTTTATGTTACGTATACTATACTGGCAGTATTGTATAGCCTGTCTAAAAGCATTTATTCATGTATAATTATATGGCATAAACCTTGCAGAAAGAAGCCGGTATTTTGCCGGCAAGGTTTTCAATGGCATCCCCCCTTAATTTGCTCGTTAGAAGATAAACACTCGCTCGCACGCGATACCAATACCGCGTGACGTCGATATTTTCAGAGAGTATATATCGCGGTAGGAGTAGGATGCGTGACGAGGACGTCAAAACTCAGTTGACCGACTATAATTATCTTCGTAGATTGCTCCGGCTGTAGCCGTGACGTAGATAATAAAGGGAGGAAATCGTGAATAGTCTCCGGCGAAGTTAATTAGTCAATTATACGATCAGTTCTACTCTGTGTGGTAGAATCGCGCGAGCCGTACTTTTATCCGCGCGTTGTCGCGCGATTTCGTCGGAGCAGCATCAACGACGTTATCAAGATCGCGCGATAACGAGACAACTTCATGGAAGACGATAAGAACGATTTGCGTACCTGTGTGATATTCCCGTTACTTTAACGACGCGCCGCCATAATACCGCGTTTAACGGTTCTCCTATATATTGATTTCACTATCTCAATAATAAATGTTAATTTGAAACATATTTAAATTTATATATAGTTTCAATGAATTCTTAGAAGCTTATTTTGTATTACAATTACCTTAAGAGAAAAATACGACGGTGCGATCTTGAGCAAAAACGCTCGTCGCAAACTGATCGACGATAAGTCACGGTAAATTACTGATTTTCTCAGATTACGCAAACGGCACTATTTCAGTCACTGAAATAACTTTGTTTCCACTATTGCAATTGACCGTGATATATGCATGAATACTCCTTCAATACTTATGACATTGCGAAACATTTGTGTTTTTCCTCTAAGTGGAGTAGATCAAACGACCAATTATGCAGTGGACGTTCAAAGGATAGTTATTCATTCGTTTAGTCTGAGAGCACCGTGAAAACAACGTTACATTAACGTACATTAACAGTTAGCCGCGAGATATTGACGCGAGGTTATCGACTAATTGTCACTTGCGTATTATAACTTCTCTTCTTCTCTAACTTTTAATTTTATTTCAGTCTCAACATTTTTTCACGAATAATTACTTATTTAACCCAATAAGACGACTTCTCTTTTCGCGACTGTCATATAGATTATCGAGAGTGCGTTAAATTCTTTTATCTGCTAGCCTATTTTGTTTATCGCGACCACGTCGTCGTCTTCGCACGACAAATAGAATATCAAATGCGCATGTGTTCGCCGCTCATTATAAATAACGTTGTGTCCACGTGACGTCTTATCTAACGATCATTTACTCTCAGAACATCGAAAGGAAATAACTGAAGGCTCCAGCGATAACACGTGAATTTCGTGAAAAGGATAACCGCAGACATTACATTCTCTGTCAATCTTTATTAATGAAGTCGAAAATTCTACGTCACACCATATCTCATTTATCATCAAAATATATTTTATCGATATGATATTATTGTATCATGTTATAATATATTTCGAGGCCTAAAACCGGGACATCTTAAAGATGCCTTGAAAATATCTTAAAGACATCTTGTATTCCGGTTTTAGGTTCTGTCTGAATTAAGTTGTTTATAATTAAGGCTGGTTCTTGCTTCTTGCTGACGCGAGAAAATGCGCGTCGAAGCGAAAGGATATATCAAATGTAAGAAAATATATTTCGTAAGAACTTTCTCCGCTTCTGACGTCATTAATCAAGATGAGGAAGCAGTTCCAATCTTCTCTATCTCTTTCAGAAGAAATTGGGTCTACCACTCGTCAGCAGTCGCAAGTTGCACCACACGCCGGACGGTCGAGCGGCGAAGATCTCTGATGCGATCTCCAAACAATACCCGTTGGTGGACCACACGTACGACGCGGTGGTGGTGGGAGCTGGTGGTGCCGGTCTCCGAGCGGCCTACGGCCTCGTGGCCGAAGGTTTCAAAACCGCGGTGGTCACCAAGCTGTTCCCGACGAGGTCGCACACGGTCGCCGCTCAAGGCGGCATCAACGCCGCTCTGGGCAACATGGAGGACGACAACTGGCAATGGCACATGTACGATACCGTCAAGGGCTCGGACTGGCTGGGCGACCAGGATGCCATTCATTACATGACCCGAGAAGCGCCGAAAGCAGTCATCGAGCTGGAGAACTGCGGCATGCCGTTTAGCCGGACCAACGACGGTACGAATGGAGGAGAAGAAAGTGATACGATCTTTCGAACAAAATCAACCTTACGTATTTTATATCGTTATAATAATTTATTAATTTATTTTCACGATGAACTTACCTTACCACTAATTAGGACATTCACCTTGAATTAAATGTATGAGATACGTTGCGAGAAAAAAAAAGTGTTGCAATTTTTTTTCTCATAGATTATACACGGTGAGACTTTATTCGAAATGTCCAGGACAATCCAGGATTGAAGGTGGATTTTACGAATTAAATTTGGCTAGTTTACGTGATCGATGTGTTTATTAACGCTCATCGCGTTTAAGAACTTAGATCCGAAACATCCTCACTGGTCGCATCTGTTTCGGAAGCTATCGAATCTGAATCGGTGTTGGAATCATTCGAATGCTTTCTCTCCTGAAATCAGACGCGTGAATAAAAACTTTCAGTCAAAATTTTCAAACAGATTGATTCGTTGAAAATGTTGACTTTACTGCGGAAAAATCGAATAATCACTATAAAGGAAGAGAAGAGAATTAGTATAGCAAAAAAAAAGCATTCACTCTTGTGATTCTGAGTAGCGATATTTTCATGAAATTTTCGTTTCGAGTGAAAGTACTTTTGTTTTGAGTGAGATTCTCACTTTGAAAAGTGATATCCGTTTAACAAACCTGTTCCTTCCTCTTCTGATCTTTTTGATTTTGATCGGGTTTCTTGGAGGACTCGCCGCCGGTTGGCTTATTTTGCCGTTCGTTCTTGCCATTCTGTTGCGTTTGTTGTTTCACTTGATTAGCCGTCTCTACATAGGGCATCTTCTCCACGGATGACATTCGTCGCCATGTTTGTCCCCCGAGCCGGAACAGATCCTGGCTCTTCAATTTGTTGTAATCCTGTAACTTAACGGTGAAGTGCTCACTTGTGGCTACCGTCTGTCGCTCGTTACCTTTTTAAAATCTTGCATAAAATTCCGGAAAGCGTTCGCACTTTTCCGTTGCTTCCTTTGCAGAGGCTTGCTTCTCGATCGCGAGCGAGATGCTCTTCTTCTGTCGCTTTTCCTGCAAGCGAAATACGAATATACTCTGTCAAGACAGATAATTCGGCTTTAGATTAAGTTACTCGTTAGTCTCTCACTGAGTTTGCTTGAAATTAAGATCGGAAGAAGATCTCGATATCGGTTGGTCGGAATCTCTTTCCCTTGCGTCTTCCGTTGCTTCTGTCACATTTTCTTGTCTCTTATCGCCGTCCTCCATGATTCAGAACCCGATTAGAGCACACTGTCCTACCGGAATTTTATGCATTCTTACTTATTGACAAGAGCGAGAATTTGTCACCGCGCGGAATAGAATGGAAATCCCATGAGAAACAAATTTTACGGTACGGTTGCCATGCGACTGCTGCTCAAACTTGAATGTCGCGCAATCGCCTCGTAAATGGATGAACGCAACAATTGAGTGAGCGACTTTTGGAGGAAGGATGTGATTTAGTTTTTCTTCCGATTTTCCTCTCATAAATAATATTTTTCCATCACTTTTCACTCGAAAATAAGTTGGTACTCGATTATAGGGAATGATTTCGTTTCAGGTAAGATTTATCAGCGCGCTTTCGGTGGTCAGTCGCTGAAGTTCGGCAAAGGTGGCCAAGCTCACAGATGCTGCTGCGTGGCAGACAGGACCGGCCACTCTTTGTTGCACACGCTCTACGGACAGTCTCTGAGCTATGACTGCAACTATTTCGTGGAGTATTTCGCCCTGGATCTGCTGATGGAAGACGGAGAGTGCCGAGGAGTGATCGCGCTCTCTTTGGAGGACGGAACGCTTCATCGCTTCCACACGAAGAACACGGTGCTCGCCACCGGCGGCTACGGACGCGCCTATTTCTCCTGCACGTCCGCGCACACCTGTACCGGTGATGGCACCGCCATGGTCTCCAGAGCCAATCTGCCCAATCAGGATTTAGAGTTTGTGCAGTTTCACCCTACAGGTTGGTACTCACGTGCTGAAATTGGATTGTTGTTTCGGACGAAAATGATATTCCTCCGTAGGTATTTACGGTGCCGGATGTCTGATCACGGAAGGAAGCCGCGGTGAAGGCGGCTACCTGGTAAACAGCGAAGGCGAGAGGTTCATGGAGCGTTACGCACCGGTGGCGAAGGACCTGGCATCGCGAGACGTGGTGTCGCGATCCATGACCATGGAAATTAGGGAGGGCAGGTGAGTTATTCCGGAAATATCTATTATTCGATAAATATCATTCCTTTCTCTGCTTAGAGGCGTCGGACCGGAGAAGGACCACATCTACCTACAGCTGCACCATCTGCCGCCTGAGCAACTGGCCGCTCGATTGCCGGGGATCTCGGAGACGGCGATGATCTTCGCGGGCGTCGACGTGACCCGGGAACCCATCCCCGTTATACCCACCGTCCATTACAATATGGGTACGTACGTCGATATTCCTTATAGTGAAGAAGAGATTTTTTAATCGCTCGAGAATAATTGCTTTCTCAGCGTCAATAACGCTCTAAATTGTTTTATTCCTCGGAAAAACGTTAACAGTGTGACGTGCATTGCACAGGTGGCGTACCAACGAACTACAAAGGCCAGGTATTGACCAGGCAGAACAATCAGGACAAAGTGGTGCCCGGATTATACGCGTGCGGCGAGGCAGCCTGCGCGTCCGTTCACGGCGCTAACCGGCTGGGCGCCAATTCTTTGTTGGATTTGGTTGTCTTCGGACGCGCTTGTGCTAAAACAATTGCTCAAGAGAACAAGCCTGGCGAGGCGATCGGGCCTCTGAGATCTGTGAGTATCTGCGCCATCATTTCGCATCTTTTAGGAGATATAATTATAATATATAATATATAATTTTAAGAAAACTGGTTTTTGCGAAAAATTGCTCTTCTTGCTGCTTAAAAAGCAATTTACTTCTTTACGGAAAGAAGTCAATGTGGCAAAACGTGAATTTCTCTGAACGAATTTTTCTGCCCTTCGGAAAGAAAAAATGTTCCTTCGAAACTAATATACCAAGACGACGAATGTACTTACTTATTAGAACGCCGGCGAAGAGACGGTGGCCAATTTAGATTGCGTAAGAAACGCCAAGGGCTCCATTTCCACGGCGGATCTGCGGCTGACCATGCAGAAGACCATGCAAACGCACGCGGCGGTCTTCAGAATGGCCGAGACTCTGCAAGAAGGTGAGCACATTGTTTGTAAACATTACTCAATCCTAATTCTTCACGATCGTTTTCAGGTTGTAAAAAGATGACCGATCTTTACAAGAAGCTCGACGAGGTGAAGGTGGCAGACAGGTCTCTGATATGGAACTCCGATCTGATAGAGACGCTGGAACTGCAAAATCTCATGATCAACGCGATGCAAACGATCGTAGGGGCGGAGCAGAGAAAAGAAAGCCGCGGCGCTCACGCCCGCGAAGATTTCAAGCAGAGAATCGACGAGTACGATTTCAGCAAGCCGCTCGAGGGCCAGCAACCGAAACCGTTCGATCAACATTGGAGGAAGCACACGCTGTCGAAGATCAATCCGAGAACAGGAGAGGTATTTTTTTTCTCTCCTTTTGTAGATTATTCGGTTGGTGCACAATTTTTTTAATCTGATTTTTCTTATAATCTATCGAGAATCTGGCAATGCAACTTCACACTGATACTTGTTCGAAATCATTCCATTTCAAAGGATTAATAATTTTTACCAGTGATATCGATTCGATATTTCTTTCCCCCTATTTTCAAATTTTTCCGAATAATTGAATAGAGAAATGTTTTCCTAATACGAGCTGAAAAATTTTGCACGAGTCAATTAGTTCGATTGATGAGTGTTTATTTGTTTCAGGTGTCGCTCGACTACAGACCAGTGATCGACGGTACGCTCGACCAGCAGGAATGCGCGACGGTTCCACCAGCGATTCGTTCCTATTAGACTAATTCCAAATGGATCGATCCATCACCCTAGAACTCATTTCGCCGGCGAATTTTGGTCACGCGATTGTCCCGTGACGTAAGCCTAACGATCACACTTAGACCGATATAACGCAACGGGCTCGTCGATCGTCGGCGACGATCTTCGTATTGCCGCTACTTACTACTACACGGTAACGAACCTTTAATTTATTTTACATAAATACACACATATACAAAGAGAAACAAACATACATACACACACATGAACTTCATCGTGCACCAAAGTTAATTCTTGTCATCGCTTGCGCGCCAGTCGCGAGCAAGATTAATGGTCCTTGTAGGATACCGATGCCGAGGTTATCTTCTCGTGGTCACCTCTCGGGGGATGGTGATTACGCGCAGTTCGCGTGAAGTAATAGTCGAACCGTGGTAGGTGGCGCTCCGGATATGCGCGGGCATGCGTTTTTCTAACGACACCGGTTGCAATACGCAACGTATTGTCGCGTGCAGCAATACGCGTCGTCTCTCAGGGACCCTTAAGAGGAGGATCCTGTCCCGTTTTACCGAAAATTTCTTAGTAATGCAGGCAAGGACTTTACCCGAAAAAAAGTTTTTTTCGTTTTGCGAATAAAGTCAACCGTCTATATTAACGTATAGATTGAGCAAAAGAATTTTCGTGCAGTCAGTAACGAATATAGTACCGACAAACTTACGGCAAAACAGACGACTCCAGGATTCTCCAGGGTTAAGGGATCACATACATTCGAGCGGCTCAAAAAAATGCCTAATGTTTTTCTGCTAACCACATTACCGCCTTCCTGAAAATGTCACCTTTTGAGAAATGATCTTTCATACTTTTATATTACAAGAAATTGATATACAATTACTGCTTCCGTTAAGCTCACCGATACTCAAAATGGAATTATTGATTTAGCAGGAGTTTTGCACGAGCTTCATGTAATATATAAATAAAAGTATCAAAAAGACATCTTCACAAAGTCAATAATGTGGTCAATAGAGAAAATTTTGGATTTTTAGCGCAAACATTAGACTTTTTTTCGAGCCGCTCGTGCAACCCTTTAAGGAGTCCCATAGCAGGGCCAGAGTTAACAGGAAAGTCAACCCTTCGTCTCCTGCACGTGTTTAATCGAGGGATTATAAGATTCTTTTCCTTTTAATTTATATTTGTTTCTATTTATTCGCATATGAAACTGGTGTTTCATATTGCTCTTGCACGCGACGGTACGCTGTGCCGTTGTACTTTGATACGATTGTTGTTTAACGCTGATACATAGTACTGCATCATCGTGCAGGAGACACGTTTATTTTTTGGATGCTCCGGCAGATTTTCTTGCGAATCGGTTGACGCAGAAAAATATGTTTCTATTTTAGTATCGAGGGACGTTACGTCTGTGGAAACGAAGATTTTTTATCAGTCGGTCTTTTATGTTTTCAAAGTGAATCATTGTATTATTTACGCGCAAACGCGATTATGAGCACACTCTCTCTGTAAGGTTGTGGAACAATATATTAATTTCGTTGCGGCCGAATACTACTTAAATACCTTACCGGACGACACATGGAAACAGCATTGAGCAATCTTCTGTTCTTGAATATATATCTTTATATATATTTATATTAAATGGACGTTTATATAAAAAGTTTGGAAAAAGATTCATAATATATTATTGTCTCACTTTACTTCGATCATTTCTAGGAAATAATTATATATTTATCTCGAAAAATATAAGAACGATTTCTCGCTTGTGTGATATCTATCATAATAATTAATTATAAGACATTATTATTCATATGACGTGTGATTTTAATTTCGCTTATTAAAACTGTTTTTCCGTGTTGTCCCTGCAGCATCCCACTGATACTATATATAATTCGTACAAGTTGGACTTGAGTGAAACATTATAGAACACGGCACAGAAATGCGAAATACTGTAGTCTCGGTCTGTAAAAATCGTGTGAGCGTGCTGTTTGGCACGGTGGAAATGTACATAAATCGCGAAGAATGTCAATAATAAAGCGTTGATTACACCTTTTATTCGCACTGAATCGTTTAAACATCGAGGCACGAAATAAGCGAAGCTCGGAATTACGACACACTGTTGTCATAAGATTATAATGATTGCATCGAATAATTATACGGAGAGCTCGTCTCCGGAGAAAGGGGTCGATGGAATAACAAGTCGCAGTGTGAATTTTCACAGAGATATTTATTAAACCCATACTAGAGTGGTACTCGTCATAAATAAGAAGTTCGCGGATTAAATAAAAACTGAGGGCGATTTTCTAAAGCATCAAACTAAAGCTCCTTGCCGCGAGCTAATACTTCAGAAAATTTCTTACACATCACGGCTCCTTTTTAATTTAATCGATAAGGATGCGCCTCGATGTATTCGCAAATAACATAATGTGTACGCAATACATGTATTATACGCTACCGAAGAAAGTCGGTACTAACGTTCGCGGAAACGTTTCTGCTACATTCTTGCTAAGAAAGGCTTCGGCACGGGATTTCGTACAAAACGATGCAAATCCGAGAGAGTCATTGGCACGACGTTAAATGCTTTCCAGGACGAGACTTGACGCGAGAGATCTCGGCGAGCGCCGAGACAAGAGCGAATGTTTTTTTAATAGTCGATTTGTAAACAGTCCGAGATTTTTCCCCCAACGGCGCTCGCATTCTTCCGTCGCGTCGAGTCTTCAACTGCGTGAGATATTCGGACGGAGCTTCTTCGGCTAGAAGCTCCCGCCGGGAAAGCGGACGATTTAAGCGAGCGAGACGTATCTTCTTTGTTTCTCCCCCCCCCCCCCTTTTTTTAGAGAGATGCTATG